CATTTTAAAGGATCCAGGTTTTTAAAGGTTAGGTTCTAGACTTGTTTCAAGTACTTAAGCTTTAAGTCGTTTATAAGCCTGCATGCGTTCTTTAGTTCCTCATCGTCCTTTTCCTTCCGTCGCATCCTTATCACCTTGTAGTTGCATATGTTATTTGACATTCTCACTTCATTTCCTCTTTTGTTCTTTCTATGTAGATTTGAATACTTAACCTTCACGTTTTAGTTCTTGTCTTGTGCTCCTTATTTATTGCCACCACCCATACGTGCCTTCTCCATTTCGTTTCTGAGCTCTATATACCCTTGCCCTTCAGCTTTCATTCCATTCAGTCATGAGGTACACATTCAACGGGCGTCCCCTTTCAACTATGCACGATCTAATCGTAGCTAGGTGAGTTCGCTCTATTGATATTTTTGTTTTGTTTTTTTGTTGTTGTTTTTTTAGTATTTGTATTTCGCCTCTCGTGTTTCTCTTATCCGTTCCTCTTTCCGTATTAGTCTGAACTTTATCCTTGTTCATTAGACATGAACTTCTGTTTGTTTCCGTTGCATCTCGTTTCCGTTTCAACAATGTTTTTCTTGAATTGGTTTATTCTACGTTATAGGTTCTTTGTTAACCAACACTCGTTTATAGTTTTGAACGGTCCTCTTATTGGGCTCTTCATTCTTAGATCGGTCCCCTTTTTTCTTTTGTAGTTCTTTTGTTTCTGTTGCACCTAGTTTCCTTGCTTCTCTATTTTCTCTTGTTTCTCTGATCCTTTTTATTTTCTGTTTCACCTCTTTCCATATGCTTCTTTCAGCATGTTTGTTATCTGATTCTTGTATCCATGTTAACTAACTGGTTCTTTTTTTTTTTTAATGGAAATTGGATGTATCAAATCAGTTCAGCACGTGAATAGCAAAAGTATAATGTATTGTGTCATTGCTATGATTCTTTGCGTTTCTGTTGTACAATTTTGCACCTTATCCTCATTGTTCCATATTTGTCTTTCTTTCTTTCTATTGTTGATTCTTTCCCTTGTTGTTTTCTTCAGGAAGTGAAGGTTTTTTTGGACGGTGCAAAGCAAAGATAAGATGGTTCCGTGTAGGATTATATGTATATGGCTAGGGTTTAATTTTGCTTTTAGTTTTTTATTATTATTTTTTAACAGTTGATGCATTGAGCGTTTTTCGTTTGTGTGAATATGTGTGATCATGTGCATGTCTTTGTATCTGTCTATGTGCGTGTGTGTTTGCATTGTGTTGTGTGCGTATGTGTTTTCATTCATGCTTCCATTGCATTAATAACACATATTTAGAAAGCTTGCTTTCTTGTGTTTGCAATGGCAACGTGCTTCGTTTCAAATGGGCATTACAACATTCTCGTCCGGCTAAGTATACATACATACATTACAACATGCAGTTTTTGCTAGGGTGGGTGGGTGGGAAATAATGCAGTTGAAATTTCAAATGAAGACCCTGCTATATAGTTGGCGAAGAGCGTCTAGCACTTCGCGGTTGCCATTGCTGCATTACAAGCAGCTTCGCTTTCAAAATACACATTTTTAGAAAGTGTTACACACTTTCAAAAAACTTCATATTTAGAAAGCTTGCTTTCTTGTGTTTGCAATGGCAACGTGCTTCGTTTCAAATGGGTCTTCTGAGACATGCGACGGGAGTTGTTGATCTTTTGCGAGATGACATGTGGGTGGTGGTCCGTTCGCACACGGAGCGGATGCTTGTACCGATGTTGCTGGTGATGATGTTAATCTCTGTCGTTGCATTGGATGGGGTGTCGCGCCAAGTGTAGCACAGGCGTGTTGATCAATGGGAGATGGCTGATACGTAGGCTTCTTACACGAACCCGCAACAGTATGGAAGGACTCGGGCAGCGGACGTTGGTACGGTATGTTGTGTTGATGATGGGTGTGAGCTTGTACCGTACAAGTTGTACGGAATGAGCCCGACCCTTGTGGTCACAATCGTGCTCGTATCACAAAGAGTACATGAAACTTTCTGGTATCCAGATGAATCTGCCGGCGTTTAAGCCCTGCGTGGTTATTTATTTATTATTATTCTTCTTTTATTTCTCCCAATGAGTATAGGTATGATCTGCGAGAGTTGTGCACCATTTCAGACTCACCACGTTTGTTCAATCAACCAACTCAAGTGTGACCGCATCCCAACCTTGCACTGTAAGGGCTCATCATAAGGTAATTGCAAAGTATTACAAAGACTGCACAACCATTAATCTACCTTACAAATGACCCACGGACCAAAAAGGACCCACCAGCCCTCTTCCCCCCTGGGGAGCTCGCTGGCCAGCACCGCACAGGACCCACCGGTCCTCCTCCCCCCTGGGGAGCTCGCTGGCCAGCACCGCACAGGACCCACCGGTCCTCCTCCCCCCTGGGGAGCTCGCTGGCCAGCACCGCACAGGACCCACCGGTCCTCCTCCCCCCTGGGGAGCTCGCTGGCCAGCACCGCACAGGACCCACCGGTCCTCCTCCCCCCTGGGGAGCTCGCTGGCCAGCACCGCACAGGACCCACCGGTCCTCCTCCCCCCTGGGGAGCTCGCTGGCCAGCACCGCACAGGACCCACCGGTCCTCCTCCCCCCTGGGGAGCTCGCTGGCCAGCACCGCACAGGACCCACCGGTCCTCCTCCCCCCTGGGGAGCTCGCTGGCCAGCACCGCACAGGACCCACCGGTCCTCCTCCCCCCTGGGGAGCTCGCTGGCCTGCACCGCACAGGACCCACCAGTCCTTTTCTGGCTCGCGCGGGACCCCCCGGGGGTGTCCCAATCTCCCACGGGAGCGCACAGAGTTGTACCAGATATTTGCCGTAGTTTCTCTTGGCAGATGGTCTCTGAAGGCGACGCAATGCTGTGGTAGTTGCCTCGCGCCAATTTACTGCGACCAAAAATTAAGAAATAACACGACTGAAAACGAAGACAAGCCAAAAACCGAACATACTTATAAAGGAAAAAAGAAATGAAGGGAACATTTGCGAAGTAACAGGTGTTCCATAGACGAATTTCAGCAACAAAAGCGCATCTGCCATGCCAGTTCGTTTCTGGCGCGCCACTGGCGATTTCGTAGCCACATGCGCCAGAGGCAATCTTGACCATTTCGGCGCCATGAGCGCCCCTGGCGCCAATTGCGCCGTTGGCGATTTCACCACGCGCGCCTGTGGCCATCTCGTCGCCACGCGCGCCCGTGGCGATTTCGTCGCCACACGCGCCTGTAGCGATTTCGTCACCACGCGCGCCAGTGGCGCTGTCGCCCTATTAGCCCCAACATGCGCACCTATTGTAGGGACGGGTGTACCCGCTGGTCATTTTTGAAACTAGGTCAACCGAGCTTGCCTACTATTTCTAAAGAAAAGTAAGGGACTGAGGAAAGCGAGAAGCACCAGGTAGTCGGACGAGAATGAAATAATGCAGTTGAAATTTCAAATGAAGACGTGGGTGGAGGCCAAATGGCCTCCACCCCCTGCTATATAGTTGGCGAAGAGCGTCTAGCACTTCGCGGTTGCCATTGCTGCATTACAAGCAGCTTCGCTTTCAAAATACACATTTTTAGAAAGTGTTACACACTTTCAAAAAACTTCATGTCTGTGGGTTTTAAAAAATTGGATCAAACTATCATTTCCGAGAAGGTTCTTTGCCCACTCAGTGAGTGTGTTCATTTGAACTGGATTTGATAGAATTGACCTTTTTTTTACTTCGCACAGATTGTGTTGTTTCATGTGACAGTTGGATGACTCAGGAACTATGCTATTGAGCTCCCCCCCATGCTAGGCAGGGGATGCCGTAGCATAGGGTCTGTGTCAATTAACTGTGACGCATTTTTATCATGATATGCATTCATTTCATTACCACAGTAGTATATGCAACATAATTATGCATTTTTTCATTAAATATTTTTTTCACCATATCCATCATTATACTTCATCTACGCATACCGTAACATCATCCGGCTTATGCATTACGGAATAAACAGTCACGCGTTCACAGGAACATCATTTTAGCAACCCATAGAGTATAGGTTCGGTCAAGGCGAACCAAGAAATGAGAAGAAATGTGGTAAGGCGCATGCTAAATTGCCATGTCTTTGCCATGGCAGACAGTCACTTAGTTACCTTATCCTTTTTTTTTTAAGTAAAGAGGATGAAAAAAAAAATTGAACATAACGATTGTAATAGGTTGCTTCGCAACCAAAAAAAAAACGGTCCTAAAGACCTAAGTGCTCGTAATACCATGTTGAGATAGGTAGGTGGGAATGGATGAACTAGGTCGAAAGAAGGGTACAAGAATGTCGAGTAGATTTGTGTACCCCCTAGTGCTAACCCTATAAAGCCTACATAGATATAATTATATGAGTGCAACTCTGTTTTACAACTCATATGAGCTTTTCTCTCTCTTTAGTGAGATACCAGTTTGCTGCATCCTATTCTAAACATCAACGCTTGCAACGATTTGCCTATCGGATCCAACGCGTCACGCTAATATCGCGTCTTGCTTCTGTCAAATTCGTGATGTGCCCCAGACATCATCGCTGCAAGGCGTGGAGTCCGAACCGAATCAGCACCAAGGCGTGGAGCCCGAAGCAGATCAGCGTAGCGTGGCGTCGCTAGGAGCACTGGAACCTAGAAGCATCATGCCGGGATTCCAGGGAGCAGACTGGCCCAGAGCAGCAGCCAGTTTGTTTCCCTGGAGCAGACTGGCTTAGTGGTTTCTAGCTTAGTGATTTCTTAGTGGTTCCGGAGAATATGCTAGCAGGCGTTCGATTGTGAGATGCGGCTCGAACCACTGCCATACGACGGGTACTAGGTTCGGTGTGACAAATTTTGTCTGGGTGCCTCAGACATATGTTTCATGACTGGACCAGCACTAAGTTGTGAGTTAGGAAGATAGGCGTTAGGTGCTGCGTATTCGCTCTTAAGGCTTTCACAAGAGAGAAGGTCGGTCACGCTTGAAAGCCTTTCAGAGATAAGGAGCCGTCCGTGAGAGATAAGACGCCATGGATTCAGGACGAGGTGACGTCAGCATGGGGTTTGTGGAGGCGGAGGATTTCGGGCAGCACGTGGATTTGACGCAGCGGATTCGCGAAGTGCTCGCGAATTACCCCGAGGGTACCACGATTCTCAAGGAGCTGATCCAAAACGCCGACGACGCTGGCGCCTCCAAGGTTCGTTAGGTTCTGAATCTTTTGTTTTGTTTCTTCTTTGAAAGCCTGGATGATTGACTTTTTAATCAATTCCGAAGCATGATGTTGATAAGCTCGACCAGATTCTTGATGATGTTGACGGACTTGACCAGATGCCTGATGACGTTGACGGACTTGGCCAGACGCCTGATGTCGTTGACGGACGGACCAGATGCCTGATGACGTTGACGGACTGACAAGATGCCTGATGCCGTTGACGGACTGACAAGATGCCTGATGCCGTTGACGGACTGACCAGATGCCTGATGACGTTGACGGACTTGACCATATGCGTGATGATGCCTCTTCTGCACTGCACTCTCCACCCAATTCTCAACTCTTGGCGTCTTACCGCCCTCAGGTCTCTTTCTGCCCAGACCATTCTCGAGGCACTTCATGTATTATGTCCCACCGACTACTATGCGCTTGAGAGCCTACCCTGCGCTGCACTCCTCACCCAATCCCCGGCATCTATCCGCCTGCAGGTGTCCTTCTGTCTGGACCATCGCACACACGGCACAGCGTCGCTGGCCTATGCGCCTCTCGCCCAGTTCCAGAGCCTGCACTGCTCGTGCACAACTGTGCCACGTTCTCAGTCAAGGACTTTGCCTGGTGCATCTCAAGTCCCCTCTTATCCCCTCTCCATTTCTTATTTCTCGAATTCCCGATCCCCTTTCTTAATCTCCCGCATCTGAACGCCCCCAGGTGTCCTTCTGTCTGGACCATCGCACGCACGGCACAGCGTCGCTGGCCTACGCGCCTCTCGCCCAGTTCCAGAGCCTGCACTGCTCGTGCACAACAACGCTGTCTTCTCCGACGAGGACTTTGCCTGATGTGCCTCATGTCTCGTCTCATCCCCTCTGCGTTACCCTATTTGCAATCCTTCGATCCCTCAATTCCTGAATTCCCTATATCCAATTCCCAATCTCCGGCGTCTACCCCCCCCACAACCCCCCGCCCCCCCTCCCCAGGTGTCCTTCTGTCTGGACCATCGCACGCACGGCACAGCATCGCTCGCCTATACGCCTCTCGCCCAGTTCCAGGGCGCAGCGCTGCTCGTGCACAACGACGCTGTCTTCTCTGACGAGGACTTTGCGAGCATTTCAAGGGTGGGGGACAGCGGCAAGCGCAAGCAGTCGTGGAAGACCGGCCGATTCGGGTGGGTGGGTTGACATGCTGCTGTCGTGTTTACTATCAGGTCAAGTGTGACACATGTGCACGTGCACTGCTGCTCGTGCATAACGACACTGTTTTCTCAGACCAGGAATTTGCGAGCATATCAAGGGTTGGGACAGCGGTACGCGCAGGCAGTCCCGAAAGACTGGTCGATTCGGGTGGGTAGGCTTACAATCAGGTATAGAAGGGTATTGCATGTTTGCTGCTGGTGCACAGTGCATCAAATCTGCTTCAGTGTTGTCCCTTCCCATTTCATTCCCATGGAACTATATAACATCTGCATCTTACGGACCTTCTTTGTCTCCTCCCTTCTTTCTGCATTTCGCTCCCTTCCTTCCTTTCCTCCGCTACCCTTCCTTCCCCTCCCCTTCTGTCCCGTCCTCCATTCCCTACCTCGCGTCCCCCCCCACAGCGTCGGATTCAACTCAGTGTATCATCTCACGGATCTCCCCTCCTTTGTCAGCCGTCAGTTCGTCACTTTCTTCGATCCGCACTGCGCCTACCTGCCCCGCGTCTCCTCAGCCAATCCGGGCAAGCGGATAGATTTCGTCGCTGCCCGAGCAGCGATGGCAGCGCAGCGGGACCAGTTCTCCCCGTACTGCGCGTTTGGATGCGACATGCAAAGGCCGTTTGCAGGGACGCTGTTCCGGTTTCCCCTGCGAACGGAGGAGCAAGCAGGGAAGAGCAAGCTGTCTCGGCAGGCGTACAATGCAGCTGACATGGCGGCGCTGTTGAGAGAGTTCGAGGTGAGAGAGAGTGTTTGGGTCTGTGGTTGTGACATATCTCCTCTCGATAGGTGGGTGGATGGGGTTTGGTTGTCACATGCAGAGGCCGTTTGCAGGGACGCTGTTTCGGTTTCCGCTGCGAACAGAAGAGCAGGCGGGGGTGAGCAAGCTGTCAAGGCAGGCATACAATGCAGCTGACATGGCGGCTTCGAGGTGAGAGAGAGTGTTTGGGTCTGTGGTTGTGACATGTCTCCTCTCGATAGGTGGGTGGATGGGGTTTGGTTGTGACATGCAGAGGCCGTTTGCAGGGACGCTGTTTCGGTTTCCGTTGCGAACAGAAGAGCAGGCGGGGGTGAGCAAGCTGTCAAGGCAGGCATACAATGCAGCTGACATGGCGGCTTTGTTGAGAGAGTTCGAGGTGAGAGAGAGGGTTTGGGTTTGTGGTTGTGACATGTCTCCTCTCGATAGGTGGGTGGATGGGGTTTGGGTGTGACATGCAGAGGCCGTTTGCAGGGACGCTGTTCCGGTTTCCACTGCGAACGGAGGAGCAGGCTGGGAAGAGCAAGCTGTCACGGCAGGCGTACAATGCAGCTGACATGGCGGCTTTGTTGAGGGAGTTTGAGGTGAGGGTGTGACTGTGACATGCCTCTTGGTGAGGTAGAAGGTATTCCGAGAATTCTTAAAGTGGCTGTGGCATGCTTTTCGCTGACGTATACCCGTAGAAGATCTTGGGTGTGCCATGCACAGCATGTTCCCAGGGGCGAGCCTTGAGACGTACATCTGTTGATTTTGAAGATAGCGTCAAGATTCAGATAAGAGAAGAAGGGGGGGGGGCGATCAAGCTGTTGAGGCAAGAGTACAATTTGTCCCGTTCTTTTCCCTCACCTCCCCTCCCTGTTCGCTGAAGCATTCACCTCGTTCTTCTTCCTAAAGCACGTGGAGCGAGTGGGCGTGTTAGATTGGAACCCAGGGGCTGTTCAATATTCCAATACCCCCTTTTTCCCCTTCCTCCCCATACTCACCGTCCCTGTCTTCCCAGGCGGAGGCAGTCTCCTCACTGCTATTCCATGTGGAGCGAGTGGAGTGGACGTGCTGGACTGGCACCGTGGAGTGTGTTTTTAATACTCCCTTTTTCCCCTTCTTCCCCTCCCCATCATACTCGTCCCCTGCCGTCCCAGGCAAAGGCAGTGTCCTCTTTCTTATTTATGAAGCATGTGGAGCGAATGGACGTGCTGTTGGAGTGGCATTAGCAAAGGCTCCAATCCTCTTCATTCGTTCCTCCCTCCCTCCTTCCCTCCCTCCCTCACATCCAACCTCCCCACTGTAGGCCGAGGCGGTCTCCTCGCTTCTCTTCCTGAAGCACGTGGAGCGAGTGGACGTGTTGGAGTGGCATCAGGGCGCCACCGCCCCTGTGCCTCTCTTCTCCTGCCGCATCTCCTCCCCCGACTCCCCCCTCCGCTTCCACCGCCAAGCCTTCTCCCGCCTCGCCCGCCCTGCTGCTGGTGCAGCTGGTGTAGCAGGGCCTGGGGCTTCAGGAGCTGGAGGGGGAGCAGGGGCAGGGGTGGTTGCGAGTGACAAGGACAGTACGGATATTTACGAGATTGGATTTGTCTGCGAGTCTTTTGCCCCGGGAAGCTCCTCTGGAGCTGCAGCTGGGGGGGGTGGGGAGGTGGTTGGGGGGAGTGAGAAGGGGAGAGGGAGGAGGGAGGAGCGGTATTTTGTGTCACAGAGGATGGGAGGGGCGCTGGGGACAGTGGGGCGCATGGCGAGGCGAGCAGCGGAGGAGTACGATATACACCTGGTTCCATGGGCGTCTGTGGCAGCTAGAGTGGGCTGTGATGGAGACACAGACGCTCCGGGTGCCTGCTTTCAGGTGAGAATGAACATTGCATGGTGAGGCAAGGCGAGCAGAGGAGGAGTATGATATTCACCTGGTTCCGTGGGCGTCTGTGGCTGCTAGAGTGGGCTGTGAAGGAGACACAGGCACACCAGATGCCTCTTTCCAGGTGAGAAGTGCATGGGAGGGCAGTGGAGGAGTATGATATTCACCTGGTTCCGTGGGCGTCTGTGGCTGCTAGAGTGGGCTGTGAAGGAGACACAGGCACACCAGATGCCTCTTTCCAGGTGAGAAGTGCATGGGAGGGCAGTGGAGGAGTATGATATGATAGACATATGGTGCCGTGCCGTGGGCGTCTGTGGCTGCTAGGGTGGCTTGTGATGGACACACAGAAAGGGCAACGGGAGGGGGTTTCCAGGTGGGTGCTGAGAGAGCACTGGAGGAGTATGATATCCGACCTCCTCCCCCGGTTTTCCCCCATTGTTCCCTCACCTCCCTGTTTCTAATATTTTCTGAGTGCCGCTTATCTGCCCGCTGCCTCTCCTTATGCAATCCCAGTTTTCTCATTTCCCAAACCTCTCTCATTCTTCACTCTTGTCATGTCATCATCCCCATCCCAGGGTCGGGCGTTCTGCTTCCTGCCTCTCCCAGTGCGTCCCAACCTCCCAGTGCATATCAACGGCTACTTTGAGCTCTCCTCCAACGTTCTTACCCATCCCCACCTCCCCGTTCCCCCCTGTTCTGCCTTCTTGCCCATCCCAGGGCCGGGCGTTCTGCTTCCTGCCTCTGCCAGTGCGCCCCAACCTCCCAGTGCACATCAACGGCTACTTTGAGCTCTCCTCCAACCGCCGAGACATCTGGTTCGGTGAGGATATGGACAGAGCAGGCCGCCTGCGCTCCCAGTGGAACGCCGCCCTGCTACAGCTCGTTGCTGCCCCGGCGTACCTCGATCTGATTCTCGAAGCTGCCCGGCGAATCGGGCCGCGGGCGGAGTATTTTGGACTGTTTCCGTCGGGCCCCACCTCGGAGCCCTGGCTCGGGATGGTCGGGCAGCTGTATAAAAGTTTTGCAAAGCTGCCCGTTTTGTATTCAAGAGGCCCTCAGGAGTTGCTAGCTGGGGTTGGGGCAGGTGGAGCTGGTGCTGTTGCTGGTTTCACAGGTCCTGCTGCTGGTTTGACAGGTCCTGCTGCCAGTACTGCTGCTGCTGGTGGTGGTGGTGGTGCTGCTGCTGCTTTCAGGGTGAGGTCAAGAGGATCAAAGGCCGAGGCAGCGTATAAAGGGGATGGGAGCTGGGTATCTCCTGCCAGTGCTGTGTTCAGTGATGAGGAATTCCGTGACCCAGATGGCTTGGAGCTAGCTCTGGTTCGGGAGGGCCTGCCGATCGTCCGGGTCTCGCCGAACCTCCGGGAGATGCTCTTCCGGTGGTCCGTTTCCGAGCCTAGAATCACCGTGCCTAGCGTTGTTCGGGCGAGGCTGAGAGCGCCAGGTGTCCACAGGGGATTGGAGAACAGGGAGGACGCGTTACTGCTGTTGGAGTATTGCTTGGGGGATGTGATAGATGATGAAGCAGCAGAGGAGCTGGATGGTCTTTCGCTGGTTCTTCTGGCGAATCAGAGCCTGGGGAGGTTTGAGAGAGTGGGGACGGTTGGGAGAGAGATTGTTGTAGCTGCGTGGGAGAGAGGAGGGGAGGAGGAGGAGGAGGAGGAGGAGGAGGTGGAGGAGGAGGAGGAGGAGGAGGAGGAGGAGGAGGAGGAGGAGGAGGAGGAGGAGGAGGAGGAGGAGGAGGAGGAGGAGGAGGAGGAGGGGGGGAGAGGGAGGGGAGAGGTGGAAGGGGAGGAGGAGTGTGGAGTATGAGCTGCTAAAGCAGAGGGGGGAGGGAGAGTTGTGGACCTAATGGGTGTGAGAGAGGATGTGTACGAGCGCCTGAGGAACATCGCACTCTCTCCCTCCGCAGGCAATCTCTCCCCACTCACTCCCTCACTCCTCCTCCGTCTGCTCCAGTCCCTGCTCCCCCCGGACTGGTTCGGACAGGACGAGGTCCCCTGGTTCGGCGATGTCTCCGAACCTGCTGGTTCGGGGAAGCGTGTACATGCAACGGCTCCGGCACCGCCGTCCGTGCGGTGGGTTGGGCTCCTTTGGCAGTATCTGGCTGCCAGCTGTAAGGATCTGACGGCGTTTTCCGGTTGGCCGCTGCTGCCGACGAAACAAAAGACGCTGTGTGCGCTGGAAAAGGGGCGGTCTAGAGTGATTTTGGTAGAAGAAGAGGAGGAGGGGGTGGAGGGGATGGAGGGGGAGGTGAAGGAGAGAAAGGAAGAAGGCGAGGGGAAGGGACGGGTTTTGTCGGCAGGTAGCGGTTTTCATGCAATTTCTGTGTTGCTGGTGAGGCTGGGGTGCCGTATTCTCTGGAGGAAACTTCCTTCTGGTGTGGAGGAAGTGGGGGATGCTGGAGTGGGGGAAGCTGTGAAAGGGGAGGCTGTGAAGGGGGAGGCTGTGAAGGGGGAGGCTCTGCAGGTGGCACATCCGAATCTGCACGAGTTTGTGCGGCCAGCCACAGGGGCAGGTGTGCTGGATGCACTGCAGTCAGCAGCGGACTGGCATGGCGTGCCCTTTGCTGTGCTCTTCCAGATGGCTGAGGCGGCTCTTGATAAAGGCTCCCCCTCTACTGCTGCTCCTGGTGCTCCTGGTGCTGCTGCTGCTCCTGGTGCTCCTGGTGCTGCTGGTGCCCGTGGTGCTGTTGTTGCTCCTGGTGTGGCTGCCCCGGCTGGTCGGACTGCCTCGGGTGGCTTGCTGTCCGAGGCTGCGGTCGAGGCTCGGCGGCAGCTCCGGGAGTTCCTGTGCTCGCCGCAGTGGTATGCTGGGAACGCTATGACAGAGGCTCGGCGTGTTCGGATCTTCAAGTCTCTGCCCATCTTCGAGGTTTACAGCAACCACCCTTCCACCCCCACCAGTAGCAACACCACCGATGCCATCAGTAGCGGCAGCAGCGGAAGCACCAGCAGCAGCACCACTCCTCCCACCACCATCCACGCCTCCCTCCCACTCTTCGTTGATCTCTCATCCCCCTCCATTCAACGCTATCTTGCCCCTTCAGGGGTGGAACCAGCCTTGCTAGGCGAGTCTTTCCTCTGCCCCTCAGACGACCGCGAGGCTGCTGTGCTCTCCCGCGCCCTCGCCATCCCCACGCTCCCCCGCCCGGCATTTTTTAAGATGCAGGTGCTCGCTAGGGTTTAAGCGCTGCCGCCCGGGCTGCGGAACAGGACGATGCTTGCCGTGCTGCAGGAGCTGCCGCAGCTGTGCACTGTGGATCCGGGGTTGCGGGATGTGGTGGCAAATTTGGCGTTTGTGCCGGCGTGGGATGGCAAGGGGGATGGGCGGCAGCAGAAAGTGCAGCAGCAAGAGGAGATGGATGGGGGAGAAGTACCAGGAGCAGCAGCAGCAGCAGCAGCAGCAGGAGTGGCAGGAGCAGCAGAGACTGATACAGGCGTAGGAAATGAGACTCTTTGCCGCCCAGTGGATCTGTACGATTCTCGCAACCCAGAGCTCTGCCACTTGCTGCAAGGAATGGCCGGCAACTGGTTCCCTGCCGCCCCTTTTTCGTCCTCTTCTGCGCTTGAGATGCTACTCAGCGTGGGGCTCCGCAGTGCGGTTACCACCGAAACGATTCTCAGCTGCGCCCGTGCCGTGGAGAGCATCGCTGCTACAGACGCGGCTGTAGCGCGGGAGCGCGGGCGGGTCCTTTTGTCCTATCTGGACGTGAACGCAGCGAGATGGGTGCCTGTGGTGCAGGGGGGGAGCGCAGGGGCGGGGGGAGTAGGGGGGAGAAGGGGCATGGGGGGCGGAGGCGGGGGAGGGGGAGGAGGAGCAGGGGGGGGTATGTTTGCGCGTGTGTCCAGTCTGTTTCAGAGCAGTGAAGCAGCGGAGGAGGCTCAGCGCGCTGCAGCTGAAATGGCCTCCTTTTGGAGTGAGCTCACCTCCATCTCCTGGTGCCCTGTGCTTGTTCGCTCCCCTGCCCCACCCTTCCTGCCATGGCCAGGGGGAGGGGATGCGAATGCAAGTAGCGAAGGAGAAGTATCAGGCGGAAGAGGAAGTAAAGGGAGGGATAGAGAGAGAGCAGATGAGTCTCGGCCTAGCCCCGTCGCTCCGCCTCGCATCGTCCGTCCACAGGTCGACACCTGGCTCGCGTCAGCGAGCCTCCGGATCCTCGACGGCGAGTGCCGGTCCACGCTGATGTGGCGCCAGCTAGGATGGGCGCGGCCGCTGACGGGGAGTGTGCTGGCGGCGCAGCTGCTGGAGCTGGGGCGCGTGTGTGGCGCGGAGGTGGTGGATAGGAGCGCGGGGAAGGCCCTGGCGGGGGCAGTGCCGAGGATTTACACAATGCTGTCAGACATGCTGGGGCAGGAGGAGATGGAGGTGGTCAAGGCGATTCTTGAGGTGAGACCTTGTGTTTTACTACTACTAGTTTATTCAGCAGCATAGGAATGAAGATTCTGAGTGGGGCAGGGGCAGTGCCGAGGATATACACGATGCTGTCAGATATGCTGGGGCAGGAGGAGATGGAGGTGGTCAAGGCGATCCTAGAGGTAAGTGCTTTTATGAATTAAGACGTTTTGGAGGTGAGTGGTTCTCAGAGTGCCGAGGATATACACGATGCTGTCAGGCATGCTGGGACAGTAGGAGATGGAGGTGGTCAAGGCGATTCTAGAGGTGAGACCTTGTGTTTTTTTCTGTTTCTACTTCATTCAGCAGCACAGCAAAGAACGCCCTGGCCGTGGCACGGCAGTGCCGAGAATATGCATCATCCTTCGTTCTCCTTCACCCATATTCCTCCTCCTTTCCTTCCTCTCTTGTTCCATTTTCTGCTCCACCACCGAATGTGCCTTTAACGGTCCCATCCACCTCGCCCCCTACCTGCGCATCATCCCCGCCGACCTTGCCGCCTTCCGAGACCTCCTGCTCGCCCTCGGCGTGCACAGATTTGAGGGGAACGAGGATCCCTCACAAACTCTTAGAGAACAATCCAACCTGCTTTTTCCTTCATGTCCCTCTTCCCTCTCTGCCACCCTCCCAGGGCTGCAGGTGGGTGTGGGTGGGGGACGGCTTCTGCTCCACCACCGAATGTGCCTTCTCCGGCCCCATCCACCTCGCTCCCTACCTGCGCATCATCCCCGCCGATCTCGCCGCCTTCCGAGACCTCCTCCTCTCCCTGGGGATGCACAGCTTTGAGGGGAACGAGGAACCCTCACGAACTCCTAGAAAACAATCCAAACTGTTTTTTTCCCCACGTCTCTCTTCCCTCTCTGCCACCCTCCCAGGGCTGCAGGTGGGTGTGGGTGGGGGACGGCTTCTGCTCCACCACCGAATGTGCCTTTACCGGTCCCATCCACCTCGCCCCCTACCTGCGCATCATCCCCGCCGATCTCGCCGCCTTCCGAGACCTCCTGCTCGCCCTCGGCGTGCGCGAGTGCCTCTCGGGGAACGAGTACGCTGCTGTTCTCGCCAGCATCGCTAAAGACGCGCAAGGCCGCCCGCTTGGTCAACGCCAGCTGGCGGCTGCTGTGTGGCTGGTGCAGCATCTGGTGGATCTGCAGTTTGATTCCGGGACGGCAGGGGCGGGCGGCGGAAGAGCAGGGGGCGGAGGAGGGGGCGGTGGAGGGGGGGGAGAGGGAATGGGGGTTGCGAGGGGAGGAGGAGGAGGGGGTGGGAGAGGAGGAGGAATGGTGTATGTGCCAGACGCACAGGGGATATTGGTGCATGCCTGTGAGCTCGTGTATAACGATGCTCCCTGGTTGCCCCAGTTCATGCGCTCCACTCCCCACTCCCCTCCCTCCTCCCCTTCCTCCTCTCCTTCCCCCGCTCCCTCCGCTCCTTCCACTTCCACTCCCTCCTCCTCTCATCCTTTATCTGCAGCGCCGGGCTTCCCAAGCAGCCACCCAGGCTCGGCAGCTCCGCCCGAACCTACTCTCCAGGTCCGGTTCGTCCACGCGAAGATCTCGAACGACGTGGCGGACAGGCTCGGCGTCCGATCCTTGCGCCGGCAGCTCCTATTGGACAGCGGAGCGGCTTCCATGGCTCTCTCCCTCCACGCCTCCGCCTCTTCCCTCTTCTCCCCGACATCCCTAGCTGCTTCTACCGGAGCTGCTTCTAACGGGGATGGAGTGGAGGCATTCGGGCAGCACGAGGCGCTGACCACTCGTTTGAAGCACATTGTTGAGATGTATCCGGAAGGGCCGGGGGTGCTATGCGAGTTAGTGCAGAATGCAGATGACGCCGGGGCGAGGGAAGCGGCGTTTCTGCTCGATCACTCGCGATTCGGAGCTTCGTCGGTGCTCAGCCCAAGAATGGCTGACTGGCAGGGCCCGTCGCTGTATGCTTACAACGACGCTGTGTTTTCGGATCGCGATTTGATTGCGATTTCACGCATCGGGCAGGATAGCAAGCTGGAGAAGCCGAGTGCTATTGGTCGGTTCGGGCTCGGGTTTAACTCAGTCTAACCATTTCACCGACGTCCCGGGGTTCGTTTCCGGGCAGAACCTGGTGATATTCGACCCGCACGCATCGAACCTGCCCGGAATTACTCCCTCGCACCCGGGCCTGAAGATCAGCTTCGTCGGCCGCGGCCTCCCGGACCAGTTCCCGGACCAGTTCCGCCCGTTCCTCCTGTTCGGGTGCGACCTGCAGTCCCCGTACCACGGCACTCTGTTCCGGTTCCCGCTTCGGTCCGAAGCTGCGGCGGGTCGGAGCGAGATAAAGCACGAGCCGTGCTCCCCAGAGGATATCCGGCAGCTGTTCAAATCCTTCCAGCGTTCAGCCACAGAAGCGCTGCTGTTTCTGAGAAACGTGGGGCGGATTTCGGTGTTTGAGAGGTTGGATGCAGGGAGTGAGCCAAAGCTGCTGTTCTGCGCACAGAGAGTAGTTGCTGGTGAGGGAGGGGTGTCACGAGGAGTAGGAGGAGGAAGTCCCTTTGTGACAGCACTGCCTTCACCAGGAACAGGACTGAGAGCCCTGGGGGATGTGGCCGATGTGGGCAGTTTGCAGCGGGCTATTTTCGATTTTGTTCGGGGCAGCCCGCAAAATCCTCTGAACAAGGACCAGTTTTACCACAAGCTGCAGCGGGCAGCTGAAGGGCAGCTGCCGAGGCAATGCGGGCGGATTTCGATTTTAGTGGCCGATGGGACAGGACACATGGCGGCTTCTGATTGGCTCGTGTCGAACGCGCTGGGTGGGGGGCGGGCGAGGGAGTGGGCTGTAGCAGTGGAGAACCGGCCAAGAGGGTTCCTGCCGTGGGCTGGCGTTGCTTGTCTTATTCAGTGGGAAGAGGAGGGGAACACCGGGCTGGTGAATCTGATGGGAGTGGGGGAAGAATCAGAGGAAAGCAGAGAAGGGAAAGACGAGAGTGGTAACCCTCAAGCAAAAAAGCACCAAGTAGGTGAAGTAGGAGGCAGGTCTGATGATACAGGTAAGGAAAGAACGAGGCTGCAAGGAAGGGCTTTCTGTTTCCTGCCTCTGCCCGTGAAAACGAACCTGCCAGTGCATGTCAACGGCTACTTTGAGCTCTCCTCCAACCGCCGAGACATCTGGTTCGGCGATGACCTGGCAGGTGCGGGCAAGGTTCGGTCGGAGTGGAACCGACGGCTCCTGGAGGATGTGGCAGCTCCGGCGTACGCTCGGATGCTTGCCGAAGCTACCAAGCAGCTTGGGCACGGACCTGCGTACCATGCTCTGTGGCCCGGGGCAGGCGGAGGCTCGGGGTTACAAAAAGGTTCGGATTCTGGGTCGGGTGTGGTTCGAAAGCAGGTTCGGGGAGAGCTGGTGGAGCCTTGGGAATCGCTGGCGAATCGGGTGTATGTGTGCGTGACTGAGCTCGATCTGGGTGTTATCTGGACAGGGGCAGCTGGGGGCAGGTGGATTCCCCCAAAACGGGCAGTTTTTGCAGATACAAACTACCCGAAAATGGAAGATCTCTCAAATATTTTGGTACGGGCAGGTCTCCCCTTGGCGGATGCTCCGTACCCAGTGGTGGAAAGATTTCGCTCGGCCTGCCCGCAGCTGAGGTTCTTGACTCCATTACTGCTCAGAAAGACTCTGATTGGCTCGGGCAGGCAGATTCTTTCAACCTGCCCGGACGTGGGCCTGGCTCTTAACTACTGCCTGAGTGACGTGGACGTGGAAGAAGCTGCAGAGAAGCTTCCAGGGCTTCCACTCATCCCTCTAGCCAATGGCACTGTAGGCACGTTTTCCAGGATTGACAGTGGCAGCAGCAGCAGCAGCGGCGGCAGTAGGAGGTCTGGGTTGATGGCTGGCGGTGTGATGGGTGGGCATTGGAGCGCTGGGATGATGAAACAATGGGACCCACGAGCCAAGGGTGGCCAGCAGCAGCAGCAGCAGCAGCAGCAGAGTGGGCTTTGAACAGCAGGCAGCAGCAGCAGCAGCGGTGTCGGCGGCTTTGTGGGAGGAGGGGCGGTGAGGCTGATCGTGACTCGCAACGAGGCGGAGTATTCTCTGCTGCTGCCCTGTGCGGCCCACCTGTTGGTGGATCGACAGCTGGCAGCGGAGCAGGGCGAGGCGTGGGAAAAGCTGCAGGCCATGGCTGGGTGGTGGGAGGAGGGGGAGGGGGACGGGGAGGGGGAGATGGGGGGAAAGGCGGGTGGGGTTGCGAGTGCTGCAGGTCCTGCTGGTGCTGGAGGGGGGATGGATGTGGGGGAGGTGCTGGGGTTTCTGAACGAGACTCAGCAGGGGCAACAGCAGCAGAAGCAGTTGCAGCAGAGGCGTAGGGAAAGGGCGAATGCAGGGGTGAATCTGGCGCTGGTGTCGGTGCCTGTGCTGGCTGAGCTGATGCCGCTGCTGCTGCCGGAGTCGTGGCGCGGACTGGCGTTTGTTGCCTGGCGTGGCGGGGTGCGAGAGGGGGAGAGAGGGCGAGGAGGAAGGGGAGTGGGAGAAGGAGAGGGAGAGGGGGAAGGGGAGGGAGAGGAAGCAGCTGGGATGCTGATGCAGGCAGATATGGGTGCAACAGCAGCAGCAAGAGCAGGAGGATTTGGTCAAGAAGTGGAAGGGGTTGAGTTCTTAGAGTCAGAAGGTCCGACCTTGGAGTGGATACAGCAGTTCTGGAACTACCTCTCTTCCTCCTCCTCTTCCACCACCACCACCGATTCTCACAGCACCACCACCACCTCTCCTCCCTCCCCGTCTCCGTCCCTCCCCCGTCCAACCCACGCCAGCCTGTCGCTCATCGCCGATTGGCCGCTCGTCCCAACCACCAACGGGCAGCTGCGGCAGCTGCAGTCAGGCGGCCCGCTGCTGCGGGCGGGGGGAGGGGACGGGTGGAGTGAGAACATGCTGTCTCTCTTTGCGCGTCTGGGCGTGTATGTGGTGCGCAGTGACGTGAACCTGGACCATCCTGGGCTGAGGGAGTATCTTCATGAGGCCTCTGCTGCTGGGATTCTCGACGCCATTGCTGCAGCAGCGGCGAATCGAGCTGCTGCAAACCGTCCTGCTTCTTCTGCATCCGCCTCTTCTGGCTACGAGTCTTCTTCCCGGCAGGGCATGGGATCCACGAGGCGAGCAGCAGGAATGGGTTTAGGACCAGGAGTAGCAGCAGGAGCAGGTTCATATGGGGTAGGTCTTGCTGCGTCTGTTGACCTTGCAGCAGCCAATCAGCCAGCACCCTCTGCTTCTGCTGCTGCAGCACAGGTGCCGCATCTAGATGCGCTCCTCTCGCTCTTCCAGGGAGCAACAGACGGGGAGAGGAGAGAGCTGCGCAGCATCCTGTGCCAGTCAAAGTGGTTCCCACCCACAGACGGTCCTTCCGAGTCATCTGCTGCTGCTGGTATGCTTGTTGCACATGCCTTTGGCCTATCCAGAGGCCTCAAACACGTTTCCGAACCTGCTTCGTCGCATCCAGGTGGCGTTCTCTCAGAGCGCCACATCAGCATGCTGCGAGCTCTGCCAATCTTCGAATCCTACGGCACCTGGCCCGCCCCTGAAACCTCGTCAGATGCACCTCAAACTCAAACACAGGACAGGGGTGGTGCTGCTGGTGCCAGTGGTGCTGCTGGTGCCAGTGGTGCTGGCCTCTCCGCTGGCCTCTCCGCTGGCCTCTCTGCTGGCCTCTCTGCTGGCCTGCCTGCTGGCCTCTCTGCTGGGCGTGTGTTTGTGGATTTGCTCACGGCGCCCCGCTTCTTCTTCGCCCCGCCGTCCATCGACGAGTCGCTCCTAGATGCCTCATTCGTCCGCGTGGACTCCGACAAGGACCACCGAATCATGCGCTGCCACCTGGCGGTCGCTCCGATTTCGCGCACTGCCTTCTACCTCAACCACCTCTTCCCCCGCATCCGTGCTGCCTCCGCTGCCGCTGCTGCTGCTGCTGCTGCTGCCACCGCCGCTGCTGCCACTGCCACTCCTGGTGCTGGTGGTGCTGGTGGTGCTGGTGGTGCTGGTGGTGCCGCAGCAGCAGCAGCAGCAGCAGCAGCAACAACAGCAAGGGCAGGGGTGAAGGGATCAGTGGTGGTGCCGTTGAGTGGGGAGGCGGGGACAGCAGCGATGGTGGCGGTGGTGAGGGACCTCCCGCGGCTGGTAGAGGAGGATGAGCGGATAGTGAAGGAGCTCAGCCGACTGCCATTCCTGCCCACCCAGTCTGGGCTGCTCAAGGCCCCCTGCAGGTATGTTGAGACAGCAGGGTTATCAAACAGGAACGCCGGAAGGGTAAGTTCGCACTCCGGTGGGGGGAGATGCAAGACTAGCAGGGACCTGCCGCGGCTGGCAGAGGAGGATGAGCGGATAGTGAAGGAGCTCAGCCGACTGCCATTCCTGCCCACCCCCTCTGGGCTGCTCAAGGCGCCCTGCAGGTATGTTTTGGTTAGGGTAAAGACACTGGAGTGAGTCGAACAGGGGTGCTGGAAGGGTAAGTTCACGCCCTGGTGGGGGAAGAGGCGGGCTCAGCAGGGACCTACCTTGGCTGGCAGAGGAGGATGAGCGGATAGTGAAAGAGCTCAGCCGGCTGCCATTCCTGCCCACCCCGTCTGGGCTGCTCAAGGCCCCCTGCAGGTGAGTGTGCTGGGGCTTTGCACATGGCTGGCAGAGGAGGATGAGTGGATAGTGAAGGAGCTCAGCAGACTGTCGTTCCTGCCGACTCACTCCGGCCTGCTCAAAGCCCCCTGCAGGTGGGTGTGGGGGGGATCTTGGGTATGATTTGATTTTGGCAGACGCCATGGCTGGCAGGGGAGGGCGAGTGGATAGTGAAGGAGCTCAGCAGACTGCCTTTCCTGCCCACCCACTCCGGCCTGCTCAAAGCACCCTGCAGGTGGGTGTGGGGGGATCTTGGGTGTGTTTTGCTTTTGGCAGACGCCATGGCTGGCGGAGGAGGACGAGCGGGCGGTGAGGAAGCTGCCCTGCTCGCCTCTGACTGCTCGCCTCTGACTGCTCGCCTCTGACTGCTCGCCTCTGGCTGGTCAGGTGGCTGAGGCGTTTCTTCTCCTTCCACTCCTTTCCTCCCTGTTCATCCGCATTTCTTCCCTTTCCCCTCTCTTTCTCCTCCCCCCCCTGCAGTCTCTATGACCCGAGGGTCCCTGATCTCACATCTCTCCTCGACGCATCTCTCTTCTTCCCAACGCCGCCCTTCTCCTCCCCCGCCCTCCTCCCCACACTCCTCTCCCTCGGCCTCCGCACCACTGTTGACCGCCGTGCCCTGCTTGCCTCTGCCCGCTCTATCCAAGAGGCTTGCAGAGGGGGAGGGGAGGTACAGGGTGCTGCAACAAGGGAGGGTGGTTCAGAGGGTGCAGCAGCAAGGCAGGGTGCAGCAGCAGGAAGGGGTGGTTCTGATATTGATCAGTCGGCTGCTCGTCGTGGTGAGACCTTGGCGCAAGCGCGTGCCTTGCTGGCACATCTGGATGCGCGACAGGTGGCGGAAGATCAGTGGAGGAGCCTCGGCGGAGGGAGGGGAGAGGGCGAGGAGGAGGAGGGGCAGGGTGGGGTTGGGGGAAGGGGAGGGAGAGGGGAAGGGGGAGTGTGGGAGGGCAGTAGGGGCGGTGGTGGTGGTGATGGTGGTGGGTTTGATGATGGGTTTTTGGAAGGTGGTGGTGATTGGTCGAGACTGGGTGCTCTGGGCGGCTTCGCCGGCCGGGGATTCAGTGGAGAGGATGGAGATGCGGCTGTGGTGGGGAGGCACGAGGGGAGCGAGGGAGAGAGGGGTGTGGGTGCTGGTGGTGGCACTGCTGGTGGCAACAGCAGTAGCAGTAGCAGCAGCAGTGGCAGCAGCAGCAGCAGCAGCAGCAGCGGCAGCGGCAGCGGCCGCATAGGGAGGAAGAGTGGTGGTGGTGGAGTTGGGGAGAAGGATATTCCCGAGGATGCCTTTTGGGAGGAGGTGAAGGGCATCTCGTGGTGCCCTGTGCTGCAGAGACCACCCGAGTCCGCCCTTGCTGCTCCCCGGTCCGCCACCAATGATCACAGCAGCAGCACCACCCACAGCACCACCCACAGCACCACCGCCAGTACTGGTGCCACCAGCAGCACTGGTATCAGCACCGGCACCGGCAGGAGCAACGGCAGGAGCGGCAGCAGCGGCAGCGGCAGTGGTGCCATCCAGCCGCCCTGGAAGGGCAGTCCGTGCGGGTTCATGCCGCCCTGCGCCGTGCGGCTGCAGGATGACGTGTGGGTGGTGGGCGGCAGCATGTGCATTCTGAGCGGTGCAGTGCGGTCGGACAGCCTGGCGCGCAAGCTGGGGTGGCGGGACCCCCCGCCTGTAGAGGCTCTGGTGTCTCAGCTGCTTGCGCTGGCTGCTCTGCATGGGTGTGCTGTGGCTGAGAGGAGAGGGCGTGAGGAGCGAGGGGAGAGGAGTGGGGAGAGGGGGAGGGAGAAGCGAGGGGTGAGGAGAGGGGAGAGGAGGGGCGGGAGGAGTGGAGACGAACATGGAGAGGAAAAGGAAGGGAAAGGAGAGGAGAGAGAGGAGGGAGAGGAGGGGGAGGAGGTGAAGGAGGAGGAAAAAGAGGAGGAAGAGGAGGAAGATGAGGTGACAGTGCTGGAACGAATCTTATCAAAGGAAGTCCCGAGAATCTACGCATATCTGGAGCAGCACATGGGCTCGCCATCCTTTTCTGCCGCCCGGACCTCCTTCCAATCAGTGGCCTGCATTTGGGTCGGCGACACCTTCATCGCACCTTCCTCCCTCGCCTTTGACTCGCCCGCCCACTTTCACCCCTACCTCCACGTCGTGCCCACAGAGGCCGCCAGGTTTCGCACCCTGCTGACGTCTCTCGGCGTCAGGGAGACGTTTCAGGTGGGGGATTACGCGCAGGCGCTAGCCCACCTGAAAAGAGACCTGGAGTGGCGGGACCGGAGGCTCGGCGGAGGCTCGGGAGAGGCTCGGGGAGCTGGTGGAGCAAGAGGAGGTTCGGGGGGAGGGGTAGCAGGAGGGGGAGAAGGAGGAGGAGGCAGAGCTGGAGCTTTATCTCCGGACCAGTTCTCGTTTGTGCTTAGGGTTTTGGAGGCTATAGTGGATGCGCTGCCGCCAGGTGGCGAGCCGCCATTGGCCGGCACGGTGCTGGTGCCGGAGGCTTCAGGGGGCCTGGTGGCAGCTCGGGAGCTGATTTTCAACGATGCTGCTTGGCTCGGTAAAGGTAGGTATTAGTAGGGATGAGGGCGGTGACTCGGCTTGATGATTTTCAGCGATGCTGCTTGGCTCGGTAAAGGAAAGCATTAGTAGGTATGAGGGTGGTGACTTGGCTCGGTGATTTTCAAGTTTCAACGTTGCTGGATCTGTGATCTCTCAATAATCCTCCAAATACCTCTCAATCATCCCACGTCTCTCCTCCCACAGCAACCGTGGATGGGCGGAGCCGCTTTGTGCACCCTGATGTGCCCCACGCCATAGCGGAGCGACTCGGCTCGCGCTCCCTCAGAGGGCTATCCCTGGATGGCCCCTCTGCTGCCACCTCGCTGCCGTGCCTGCCAGGTGAGTCTTCCTCTCCTGTTCCCAAACACCTTATGGGTCTAGTTGTGTGGACATGATGATGCAGAGAATAGCCTGGCACTTTATTTTGAGAGCATGTCACTCAATTACTTTGTGTTCGCTTTCTCATATCCCTTTCACATGTCTTACTTGTATTCTCTCTTCCCCATCCACCACCCCTACAGCGGTGGTGATATCGGAGCTCTTAGTGGGCGGGCTGCGGGTGCCCAACTCCTGCTCTTTGATCTTCTAGAGGTGGCAGATGCGTGTTTCGCGCACGGGGTAGAGTTTGTGTGGGAAGAATTTCTTTAGCCTGCCTCTTCACCACTTTCTCCCCGCTTCACCTCCTCTTCCCTGTCCACCCTGCCTCCAGCGGTGGTGATATCGGAGCTGCTAGAGGGCTGGGCGGCAGACAGCCTACTCCTCCTCTTCGACTTGCTAGAGGTGGCTGATGCATGTGGCGCTCGTGGAGTGGAGTGGAGTGGTCGGGCTCAAATCAAGCCTTGCATTTATTCCTCCTTCCCACCCCATCCAGCGGTGGTGATATTGGAGCTGCTAGAGGGCTGGGCGGCAGACAGCCTACTCCTGCTCTTTGACTTACTCGAGGTGGCTGATGCGTGTGGCGCCCGTGGGGTGGAGCGGAGTGGCCGTGCCCTTGCAACTTGGCATTCTCTCCTCTTTCCCTCCCCTTTGTCCCCATCCACCACCCCATCCAGCGGTGGTGATATCGGAGCTGCTAGAGGGCTGGGCGGCAGACAGCCTACTCCTGCTCTTTGACTTACTCGAGGTGGCTGATGCGTGTGGCGCCCGTGGGGTGGAGCGGAGTGGCCGTGCCCTTGCAACTTGGCATTCTCTCCTCTTTCCCTCCCCTTTGTCCCCATCCACCACCCCATCCAGCGGTGGTGATATCGGAGCTGCTAGAGGGGTGGGCGGCAGACAGCCTACTCCTGCTCTTGACTTACTCGAGGTGGCTGATGCGTGTGGCGCCCGGGGAGTGGAATTCGTGTGGGACCAGCGGCACCACCCTGAGATCTCCCTGCTGCAGCCCAACTTGGGTACGTGCTGCTGGTTCAGGCAAGGGTTGTTTTGTTATCGATTGCGTGGATGTGCGGATTCGACACCGGCCCTGCTGTGTGGAGTCAACACTGCCCCCGCTGTGTGGAGTTGGCGTGAAGTCAGACCAGCAGCACCACCTGAAGAGTTATCCCTGCTGCAGCCCAACCAACCTGGGTATGCAGACCTCAAGAATACACAAGCAGCAGGTGCGTGTGTGCGGTTGTTTTGTTGTGGTAGGATGTGCGAGTTTCACACACAATCACTCTCTCTCACCCCTCCTACAGGTCACTCTCAGGGTCCTTCTCTCACCATCCTCTTCCACGGGGCCCAGCTCACCTCTGAAGACATTGCCACCTGCACAGCACATGCCTCCTTACCCACCAGCCCCCTGCATCCCGCACCTCACTATGCCGTTTCCGTCTGTCCCACATATTTCTCTTACCCACTCTTGTATCCCCTGCTCTCCTTGCCCCATCACACCCGCTATCAGGTCAATTCCAGGGTCCGTCGCTCACAATCCTCTTCCACGGGCCCAGCTCACCTCAGAGGACATCTGCCACCTGCACACGCCTCCCCTCCCCACCCCCAATTTATACCTCACTATACCGTCGACTTGTCTCTCTCCCACATGCATTCTCGCAGGTCAATTCCAGGGCCCATCACTGACAATCCTCTTCCACGGGGCCCAGCTCACCTCAGAGGACATATGCCACCTGCACACGCCGCCCCCCATCCGCCTTCCGCGACGCCACGTGTCGCTATGGCACTGGTCTGCTGGGAGCATACCACCTCTCAGACCTTCCCCTCATAGTCTCAGGAAGCTTCCTCTACGCATTCGACCCCTCGGGCCACCACATCTTCTTCTCGGTTCGGCTGGTGGTGGGGTGCTGGTGCTGGTAGTGGTAGTGGTGGTTTGTCTGGTGCTCGTGGCTCGGCAGAGTCACCTGGTGGATCGAGGAGGAGAGGAGGGGACGACATGGGCTGCTCCTGTTGCACGAGCATTTTCGCTTAAAGGTGTTGTTGTTGTTATCTTATTTAGGGTTTTTCCTTCTTCTCTTTCTTCTTCTTCTTCTCTTCTTCTCTTTCTTCTTTTCTCTTCTTCTTCTTTCTTCTTCTTCTTCTTCTTCTTCTTCTTCCTCTTCTTCTTCTTCTTCTTCTTCTTCTTCTTCTTCTTCTTCTCTTCCTCTTCTCCTCCTCCTCCTCCTGTCTCCTCCTCTTCTTCTCCTCCTCTCCTCCTCCTCCCCTCCTCCTACCTCCTCTCCTCCTCCTCCTCCTCCTCCTCTTCCTCCTCCTCTTCCTCTTCCTCTTCCTCTTCCTCTTCCTCTTCCTCTCCTCTTCCTCTTCCTCTTTCCTCTTTCCTCTTCCTCTTCCTCTTCCTCTTCCTCTTTCACTCTTCCCTTTCCTCTTCCTCTTCCTCTTCCCTCTTCCTCTTCCTCTTCCTCCCTCTTCCTCCCTCCTCCTCCTCCTCCTCCTCCTCCTCCTCCTCCTCCTCCTCCTCCTCCTCCTCCTCCTCCTCCTCCTCCTCCTCCTCCTCCTCCTCCTCCTCCTCCTCCTCCTCCTCCTCCTCCTCCTCCTCCTCCTCCTCCTCCTCCTCCTCCTGCTCCTCCTCCTCCTCCTCCTCCTCCTCCCCTCCTCCTCCTCCCTCCTCCTCCTCCTCCTCCTCCTCCTCCTCCTCCTCCTCCTCCTCCTCCTCCTCCTCCTCCTCCTCCTCCTCCTCCTCCTCCTCCTCCTCCTCCTTCTTGAGCTGGTAATTTCTGTTCGAAGTTGGCTCAACAGTACTTTGAGGTTCCAAATTCGTGTTTCCTGTACGGACTGCCTGCATTCACTCTCGAATTATTTTTCTATACTCCTGTTCTCCATGTTCAGCATGAATGGCTAAGGTTCCAGCCCCATCATCCATACGAATTATAGTGGGTGGTTGCCTTTTGAGAATTCTCAGAAAATCATCCATACAAATCATAGTTGGTGGTTGCCCAATTCATAAAATCATCACTCCTCTCTATTGTCCATTTCCCTTGCCCCCTTCGCCCATCATTCATCATCGCCAGGCTCTGGGTCCTCAAGCTTCATCAACCGCCTCCCAGACCAGTTCCGACCCCTCATTTCCGCCCCTCCCCCCGCCCCATCCCCTTCCTATCCCCCCCTCCCTCCTCCTTGCTCATGCAGGCTCTGGCTCCTCAAGCTTCATCAACCGCTTCCCAGACCAGTTCCGACCCCTCATTTTCACCTCATCCTCCTCCTCCACCTCCTCCTCGCACTCCCCTTACTCCACTCATTTTTCTCACTCCTCTCACACCTCCGCCTCCGCCTCTGCCCCCTCTTTCTGGGACGAAAACACAGTGCTGCGCCTGCCTCTTCGCACGGCACACCAGGCAGGCTCCAGTCCAATCAGGAGAGGCCACGTGGCAGGGCCTTGGGATATTGTCCTGATGGCGCAGCTGCTGCAGCAGCATGGGGCGGCGTCGCTTGTCTTTTTGAACTCTGTGGAGACGGTGAGTGTGCTGTCATGCCATGTAGGCTTGAGTAAAAAGTCAAACACCTGCTCGGTTCGGCCCAAACATGTGCCATGGCATGACAGGCATGACATGGCATGACCCAAACATGTGCCATGGCATGACATGGCATGACCCAAACATGTGCCATGACAGGCATGACATGGCTTGAGTAAAAAGTCGAACACCTGCTCGGTTCGACCCAAACATGTGCTGCCATGCCATGTCATGCCTGTCATGTGACTCGCACCTTCTTTTTGAGAAGGCACTTCTGTCTTGAACTGTCTTGAAATCTGTTCCTTTTACCCAACCGCCACTTATATGATTATATCTTCTCCTCTCCCCCTTCAAACCTTTTCACTCGCTTGCCCACACGCTGCCAGGTGTCGTTCTCTGTGTGGTCGGCGGATGCTGCCCAACCGGAAGAATTTTTCCATGCCCAGGTCTGTCTCCCGAACCTGTGTAGCCGTGAATGTTTTCAACATGTTGTCATTTGCCCCAAATAACACTGCTGCGACTGGCGCACCCATCACCCAAGTGGCTTGTTCATTCGCCTGCTGCCTCCGCCTGCCCTTGAGCGAGCCCGAGCAGGCATGGACTCCCTGAGAGCATTCTTTCAGGACCGAACGGCGCCCTTAGGAGAGTTCAGGCGCTCTCGCTTCTTCTCTTCCAAGTCCCAGTACCGTTCTCTTCCTCCCCTCCCCCGCCCTACAGACCCGAGCGGGTATTGGGTCTCTGAGAGCACCCTTTTCAGGATCGCAAGGTGCGCAAGCAGGGTTTCCTCTCCAGCCTCTTCAATCCTGGTGGGGGCGGCAGCAGCAAGGCGTTCACTCGTTTCCGTCCCCCTCCCCCTCCGTACAGATCCGAGCAGGAATGGGCTCTCTTAGGGCGCCCTTTCAGGACCGCAAGGTGCGAAAACAAGGATTCCTCTCCAGCCTCTTCGCCCCTGGAGGTGGGGGCAGCAGCAAATCATTCACTCGTTTCCGTCTCCCTCCCCCTCCCCACAGATCCGAGCAGGAATGGGCTCTCTTAGGGCGCCCTTTCAGGACCGCAAGGTGCGCAAGCAAGGCTTCCTCTCCAGCCTCTTTGCCCCAGGAGGTGGGGGCAGCAGTGGCACCACCAGCAGCAGCAGCAACAGCAGCCTGAAAGCATTCACTCTAGACGTTCTCACCAGGTCCCAGTCCCTGGCGCCGCTGCTGCCGCTGCTGGGGAGCGGTGGTGGAGGGGAGGGAGAAGGGGGTGTGGAAGGAGATGGGAGGGTGGGGAGTGGAGAGGTTGGAAGGGATGGAGAAAGGGAGCAGAGGTTGGGAAAAGGGAAAGTGGGGGAGGAGGTGGGAGGAGAGAAAGGGACGCTACAGCCGCAGCAGCAGGAGGAGGAGGGAAGGAGGAGTGGAGAGAGGTCGGGGAAGGTTGCGGGGCATGGGGGGGGTGGTGGTAAGAAGGCTGGAGTGTCTGACGTGGCGATTGATCGTTGGCTTGTGGTGCAGACTTTTGGAGCTGGGAGTTCCCTGGATATGGCAAGAAGCAAGTGAGTATCACGCTGTCATTGGGTATGTCCAGATGCACTGAATCTAGGTCTTTTTTACTGCCTTGGACTGGTGCAGACGTTTGGAGCTGGGAGTTCCCTGGATATGGCAACGTCTGTTAATATTAAGTACCTCAATTTCCATCCCCTCCCCCTTATCCCATCCCACAGGAGGTACCTCTCCTTCAACCTCTCCCCACTGGCCGGCGCCACCACCCGAATTCTCTGAGACATTAATTTTTTGTTTTTCAGAAGTTTCTGTTATGTTCTTCTATTCAATCCAAGTGCATCAAATGACCGTCTCCCCTCTCCCCTTCCGCCTGCCCATCCCACAGGAGGTACCTCTCCTTCAACCTCTCACCAGTGGCCGGCGCCGCCACCCGAATCCTCCGGAACGGCGAGATTATCCCCTTCGCCACCACCCACCCCTTGCCTACACAACAAGAAGCATTACCATCCCTGTCAGCCGTCGCCTCTTCCTCCTCCTCCCTTGCCGCCCTCCGCCCGTCCCTCCCGGCCTCGGTTGTTCTCGCGCCTCTGCCCGTGCCACTCAACCTGCCCTTCCCAGTGGCCCTTTTCGGCCACTTCCTCCTCCTCCGCAACCCCGGCTATCCTCGCTCCCTCTTCCTCCCTTCCCCCTCTTCCTCTCCCGCTTCCTCCTCTCTCTCCTCCACTCCTTTGGCGCCTTCTGCTGACGTGGCTATGGGCGCCACGTCAGCATCTGCCACGTCACCAATGGACGCGCTGATGCAGGCGTGGAACGAGGAGCTGCTGACAGGTGTGCGCGATGCGTACATCGGGCTCCTGCTGGAGATGCAGCGGATCCGAATCGGCGAATCGCGGCTGGTATCGGGACTGTCTATTCTGTCTGGTGGTGGAACCATGCCTCATCATCAGTCTCAGGGGCAGAGAGGCAATAACCGCCAGCATCAGCAGAATCACCAGCAGCAGCAGCAGTTGAGAGGAGCGCTGTTCCCAGCGGATCAATTCTACTCACTCTTCCCTCGCTCCTCCACTCCTGCTCGTGCCGCTCTTCCCGCAATCCCCACTGCTTCCTCTTCCGCCCATCCCTCTTCTTCTCCTCATCCCACCTCTTCTCAGCCTGCTTCCCCTGAGAATGAGCCAAAAGCACAGCCAACAGGAGCAGCAGGGGCAGCCGCCACAGGTGATGAGCTGGCGCTGCGTGATTGGCTGGTGCGGCCGATGTATGTCCGGCTGGCAGAGCTGCCCGTGTGGCAGCTCCACAGCGGTGCAGCAGTCCAAGTCAGCCAAGGGATGTTCCTCGTCCCACCCCCAGGCTCCATAACCATCCCCTCTATAAGCAGCTCCGTTATAAGCACACCTGCCGACAGCAGCTCCGTTATAAGCACATTAAGCGCATCTGCTTATAGTGGAGCGCCGCCCGAGGCGGTGTGTGAGTTTCTGCGGGCGCACTACCGCGTGTTCAGCGTGCCGTGGGACCTGGTGGGGGAGCTGCATGCGGCCGGCGTGGCCACTCAGGCGCTGACACCTGGCATGCTGCGGTCCCTGCTGCGCGGGCCGAATGCCACTATGAACACTGTCCCCGTGACCACACAGGTATGGCGTTTCATCCATGAGTGCAAATGGAGATTGGAGTAAATAATTCATTTTTGGAATAATACCAAGTCAGCTCTCTCTTTTTTTACAGTGAAGCAAAGTGAGTGCAGTGCATGCATCTTGAAATGCTCCTGTGTTGACTTGCAGTCGCGTGCGCCAAAGCTCCAAAAAAGCGGCGCTGATTTTTTCACTACCCTTTCCCCCTTCCGCACTGTAATCACCTCCTCCCCTTCATCCCCCTTTCCTTGTCCCCCATTTCCTCTTCCCGTCTCCTCTCTTCCTCGTCCTCCTCTCCTCCTCTCCTCCTCCCTCCATCCTTTCCCCCAGGCCGACCTGCTAGAGTATTGCCGACATTCCTATCCCTTGGCCAAGCCACTTGTGAGAGATCTCAAAAGGCCCTCATTTATGAGGCAATTTCGGCGGCGCCTCCACTCCACCCCCCTCTCCCACCCCCCGCCACCCTTCCTCCCTCTGATCTTCTGGCCCATCTTCCCTCTCTTTCCTCTCCCCCAGGTCGACCTGCTGGAGTATTGCTGTGCCGACATTCAACTACCCGACCCGTCCTCCTATCCCGCACCGCCAGCTGGCAGCTCCTCATCCGCCAGCCAGGCTGGCAGCGCTGCCACGTCAGCAGCGCCACGTGGCGCCGCGGGAGCGTTCAGCATGCTTCCACTGCCCAGAGAGGTGCGGGCACTGCTGAGGGGCGGAGGAGGGGGAGGGGGAGGGGAAGGGCGGGCAGGGGGGGCAGGGGGGGCAGAAAGCAGAGGGTTAGGGGTGGGAGCAGCAGAAGCGTTGCTGCGGAGGCTGGAAGGGGCAAGGATGGGCGGAATGGGCGGCACAGCAGCAGCAAGGGGAGGGGGAGGAGGAGGGGGAGGGGGTGGTGGTGGTTCAGGCAGCAGTGGTTTCGGATCTCAAGGCGGGTATGCTGGGTACAGTGCTGCTGGTGGTGGTGCTGGTAGCAGCAATAGTACAGCAAGGCATGGGCATGGTCATGGGCATGGGCAAGGGGAGGGCATGCGCAGTGATGCAGATGCGTTGGCAGATCTGATGGCTCAGTTCGGCCGCTCTGTTTTCGATTTCGGGCAGAACGTTCTCGACGAGCTCGATGCTGCCCGGGCAGGCGCGACGGGCAGTGAACAAATAAACTCGGGAGAAGGAAGAGGAAGAGGAGGAGGAGGGAGAGGAGGAGGTGGAGGAGGAGGGGAGGGAGAGGATAGGCCTGCACTGACAGAGGAGGAGAGGGAGAGACTAGCAGCAGAGGAAGCTTCCAGGAAGGCGGCAGAAGCCAAGGTTGCAGAAATGAAGGGTGTTCCCGTACCTACTGGTACGGTGTCCGACCCTGCATTCCGAGCCTTCCAATCCGAGCCTCAGAGGCATGGTGGGGCTGGCGGGGGTCTGGCTAGGCTCGGGAAAGACCTCCTCATAGTTGCCACCTGGAAGGAGCAGCGGCTGCTGCCGAACCTAGCGCACAGGTTCGTTCACCGAACCTGCTTGGCTCGGCATCTTCTGAAAGCCCTTTTCCTGCACCCGAGGTTCTGTGAGCTGCTGACGATGCAGCCATTCACGTTGCGCCACCTGGCAGACGGGCTGGCTACAGTGTTTTCACGGCAGCAGAGGGCGGAGGCGGAAGGAGAGATGCTGATCGTGTGGGGACAGGGAGAGGGGGCTGATGTGTGTGGGCACGTGGAGGAGGAGGGAGAGCAGGGAGAGAACCAAGAGCAGCAGCAGCAAACGTACCTTCCAGGAACTGCCACCACAGCCACTGCCACGGCCATTGCCAACAGCAGGAGCAGCAGCAGCACACTGCAGCAAAGGAACTCTAGGGATTCTCCCTTGGACCCGCTCTCTCCCGAGTGGCTCAGGGCCTTCTGGGCTCTACTGAAACGTTCCTCTCTCTCTTCAGCACCCACGACCCAGGCACTTGGCATCAGCAGCAGCAGTGGCAGGGGGCAGCAACAGGAGTGGGTGGAGATCTTTGAATCCTGGCCGTTGATTCCCGCTGTGACACGTGGCGGCAGTGTATTGGTCAAGGTGGCTTTCCGTGCAGCTGTTTTCGTCCCTCCAGATGCAGGTGCAGCTCCTGCCGAGCCTCCTGCCGTGCCACCTGCCGTGCCTCCTGCCGGGCCTGCAGTGCCTGCGCCAGGAGTAGGGACTACTGGGGAAGGTAGTTCAAGGGGAGGTGGCATTCAGGGCTCGGAATCTCCTGCAGTGGTAGCTGTAGGCGGCTGGGCTGATTTTGGAGATTCAGCCGCTGCTGGCACCTCTGCTGCCTCTGGTGGTGTGTCTTCTCCTGAGGAGGGTTCTGAAGCTGGAGTAGCCAATGACAGGCTGCCACGTGGCACCACAGCAGAGTCCGAAACCAGAGGGACCACTATTCAGTACCCGCCGAAGCACCTGAGTCCTGAGGTTCGGCGGCTGCTGTGGAGGTTCGGCGCGCTGGAACGGGACCACCCGTGGCTGCTCCCGGTCCTGCGCGACAGGCTCGGCATTCCAATCTTCGACCGGAGATTCATCGCTTGCTCAGAAGCAGTCCGGTGCTGCGAGGAGGCTCGGATAGGAAACTCGGACAACTCTCATCACACTCAACAGCAGCAGCAGCAGCAGCAGCTGTCTCTGCAGCAGCTGGTGCTGGCTCGGCTGCTAGCGGCTCAATCCTTTGACCGGCTTCCTCCCCCTGCTGCTCTCGCTCTCTCTCCTCAGGACTGCGACCGCTTGGTCTCATTCTTTGCTTCTCACGTCCGCTCGCCCTCCTCCTTTCTCCAGTCCCTTGCCAGCAGTATCTTCTCCTCCTCCTCCTCCTCCTCCTCTCCCTCCCCCTACACCCCTCAAGAGATCGCACTTATCCGCTCGCTCCCAATCTTCAAAACCACCCTCGGGAATTTCACGGCCATTGACCCTGACTTGCACTGCGTTGCGCCACCTGTCGCGTTCTACCAACCAAAAGATGCCACGTGTCTGCAGGACAGGGACTCTCCTGGGGAGAAGGCCCTGCTGAGCTGTCTCGGCGTGAGGGTCATTGACGAGGCGGACGTTCTTGCAAAATTTGCGCTGCCCGGATTTGACGGGCAGGGCGAGGAGGAGAGGGAGAGGGTGCTACAGTACGTTGTGCAGCACTGGCAACAGCTGAAGCAGAAACCAGCGGTTGTGGACGCGCTGAAAGAGACAAAGTTTGTGATACCAGCGCCGCCCACTGCTGATGCCGGCTCTCTCATCCCTCCTCCTGATTCTTTCCCTGCAATTGCCCTCTCTGTTGCCGCAGCCACCACAGTATCTCCCACCACCACCTCCTCCTCCTCTTCTCACTCTTCCCACCCTCTCGACTTTTCCTCCTCTTCTTCAATTTCTTCTGCCCGGGTCCGCCCATGTGATCTCCTCGACCCAGCCAACGACCTGCTCCGGCAAGTTTTCGTGCACTGCCCGGAACGGTTCCCGGGCGGGCAGTTTGAAACTTCACGGTGGCTGCCCGTGCTGCGGGACTGTGGCCTCCAATCCGCCTTCACGCCCGACCTCTTCCTCCAATGCGCTTCCGCCGTTGAAGCGCGGTATGTCACCTTCCTGGAATCTTCCTCTGCTGCTGCAGCAGCAGCTGCAAGCACTGCTGGCGGCGCTGCCACTTCTGCTGCTGCTGCTGCTGGCTCTGCATCGGATTCGTTTCTGTTGTTTGGGGAAGAGGACCCCTCTCAGGAAAGCGACACAGGGGACTTTGTAAACGTGGATCTGTTTTCAGGAGGCCGCATTACTGGTGACAGCAGCAGCAGTGGTGGCCTGGCTGCTGCTGCTGGAGCAGCAGCGGGAGGAGTGGGAGGAGCAGGAGGAGGGGGGTTGGGGGAATCGGGCCCGGTGGTGGGGGTGGAGGAGGAGCTGTGGGTGGTGGCAGGGAGGTTGACAGAGGCGCTTCTTGCGAATGTGGCGGTGGTGTTTGGCAGCAGTGCCATGGAGTCGCTGGGGCAGATCAGGTGAGTCAGCTGGGGCAGGTCAAGTGAGTCACCATTATTTCTAGGTTCTAGGCGCCTCAGCTAGTGTCACTTTACATGGGCCCTGCCCCGCCGCCAGTGGTGGGGGTGGAGGAGGAGCCGTGGGTGGTGGCGGGGAGGTTGACAGAGGCGCTGCTTGCGAATGTGGCGGTGGTGTTTGGCAGCAGTGCCATGGAGTCACTGGGACAGATCAGGTGGGTTTTTGGTACAGGAAGCATGCCAATTGAGGTCCATGGTTTGGGCTTTAAGCTGACAGATGCGCTGCTTGCGAATGTGGCGGTGGTGTTTGGCAGCAGTGCCGTGGAGTCTCTGGGGCATATCAGGTGAGTCACTTTTCTTTCTCGGCCCCTCAGCTAGTGTCTCCTTACATAGGCCCCACCCCGCTCCACTCCCACCGGTGGTGGGGGTGGAGGAGGAGCTGTGGGTGGTGGCGGGGCGGTTGACAGATGCGCTGCTTGCGAATGTGGCGGTGGTGTTTGGCAGCAGTGCTATGGAGTCACTGGGGCAAATCAGGTGAGTCACCCTTTGTATCTAGGTGAGTCACTGGGGCAGATCAGGTGAGTCGCTGGTTGGGGCAGAAGAGGTGGGCTGTTGGTGGCCCAGGAATTGTAGCAGATGTTGAGGGTTTATGGCTTGGGGTTATGCTGACAGAGGCTCTTCTTGCGAATGTGGCGGTGGTGGTGTTTGGAAGCAGTGCCATGGAATGGGGTCTCTGGGGCAAATGAGGAAGGGTGCAATAGTGAAACCATCATGTGTTGTGTTGTGCATGTATAACGTATTAGGCTCAGCCTAACATAGGCTGTTCTTGTCAATAGTGCTGGCTGCAGGCAGGAAACACACCCCTTCTGCTTCCTCACACCGCAGGTTCATCCCAGCAGAGCGAGGAATACCGACAGGCGGTGCAGCAGTTGACCGGCGGTGCCTCGCCAGCTATGCTGCCTGCGTGGCGCCCTCTGATTGGCCGCTCGCGTGGACGGCGGTGCCTGTGCTGGCAAGGGAAGCCTACGTCCCGCCGCAGTTCACGTGGCTCAAGCTGGGGCTCAAATCGCCACCGCCTCTCAGCCTCGTTCTCACTCATCTGAAGGTACGCTCCCTCACACCCATAGAAGGTGGTCTTGTCTCGTACGCAGTTTGCGGAAGGGAATTGCTCGGCCTGTGCCTGTGCTGTCAAGGGAGGCCTTTGTCCCGCCGCAGTTCACATGGCTCAAGCTGGGGCTCAAATCGCCACCGCCGCTGAGCCTTGTTCTCACACACCTCAAGGTATGCTCTTGTCACTCTCTGTCTCCCACGCACTCAAGAAGGGCACATGTTTGCTCGCGTGGGTTAGCAGTGCCTGTGCTGGCAAGGGAAGCCTACGTCCCGCCGCAGTTCACATGGCTCAAGCTGGGGCTCAAGTCTCCCCCGCCTCTCAGCCTTGTCCTCACACACCTGAAGGTACGCTCTCTCTTGCACCCTATGTATATTGTAGCCACGTCTGGTTTGCACTTTCTCGCATGGACTAGCACTGCCTGTGCTGGCAAGAGAAGCCTTTGTCCCGCCACAGTTCAATTGGCTCAGCTGGGGCTCAAGTCTCCCTCGTCCCTTTTCCCTTGTTCTCACACACTTGATTTGACCGTTCTAGCACTGAAGGCATAATTCATGAGCCACCCACTCCAAAGCCACTCATGCGTGCGTCGTCCCATTCCTCCCATCCCTGTAGGTGTAGTCGTCCTCACCCTCGTCCCTGTACCCACCCGCTCTCTCTTTTCTCTCCCTTACAGCATTCCTCTTCCCGCCCTTCTCTTCGCCCCGTCCTACACAGGTCTTGGGTCGAGGGGGTGGAGAGGAGACCCTTGCACGCTGGCCAAGCATTGTATAAGGCAAATCACTAGAAGAAGCGTTCGAGCAGATCTTCAAGTTCCTCGCCTCCCTTCCCTCCCCCCCCTCAACCCCACACCCCCACAGGTCTTGGGTCGAGGAGGGGGGGAGGAAACCCTCGCTCGTTGGCCAAACGTGGTGGGAGGAAAGTCAGTGGAAGAAGCGTTTGAGCAGATTTTCAAGTTCCTCGCCTCCCATTGGTCCTCCCTCGATCCGCCCGACATCCGCGCCTTAAAGCCCGTCTCGCTCGTCCCTGTCGCCAACGGCACGCGCCTCGTCCCAGCCTCGGCGCTCTTCGCCAGGCTCGGCCCGGACCTCGCGCCGTACCTGTTCGAGCTGCCTCGGCGCTTCCTGCCGTTCTCCCAGCTACTGGTGGACCTAGGGATGCACGACTCGCCCTCGCCCTCTGCCCTCTCCTCCTTCCTCTCTGCCCTGCACCGTTCCTCTGGGGGACAGAGGCTCAACCCGAACGAGTTTCGAGCGGTGCTGAGAATCCTGAGACTCGTGTGTGAGGGGGAGGAGGAGAAGGGAGGAGGTTCGGGCAGAGGAGGAGCAGGAGGAGGGGTAGCAGCAGTAACATTTTCCTCTCCCTCTTCGTCACTCTCTCCTCTGCTTGCTCACGCAGTGGTGCCGGATGATTTATGCCGGCTAGTCCCAGCGGATTCCTGTGTGGTCGTAGACCCGGCTGCTGTTTTCCTCGCCAATGAAATCGACCCGCGCTGCCTGCGCCTCGTGCACCCGCTCCTGCCGCCGAGCCACGCGGCCAGGCTCGGCATCCCGAGCCTGTCGCAGGTGATTGAACAGGAGCTGGACCCGAACCTGCCGGTTATGCAGGTTGGCTCGGTGGGGGGTGTGTCGCTTAGGAGTGTCGGGGAGAGGATCAGTAGCAGGGAGTTTGCTGCTGCTACGTGGTCAATCTTGCACCAATTCGCAGCAGCAGCGGCAGCATCAACTCCCTCCTCTCTCCTCTCATCCTCCTCCTCTACCACACTCGGTTCATCACCCAACTCCTCTTCCTCCTCATCCTCCGCCTCCTCCTCCTCCTCTCCCTTCTCTTTTCGAACAAGAGATGTTACCCCTCCCTCCTCCCGCGCCTCTCCATCCTTCTCCCCCATCCAATCGCGTGAGGACACGTGGCGGGCGCTCACGCGAGCAGCGCAGGGCCTGCGGTTCGTGTCGGCCCTCCACACGCGATTCGTGATCCTGCCATCCCGTAAGGTGGTGCCACGTAGGACGACACGTCAGCACCAGCATCCACACCAGCATCCTCATCCCACTAGCAGCACCGTAACTAGTAATTCACCTTTAGGGGGCTCGCATAGTGGTGTGAGGGACCCAGATATAGGGTCGGTGGGTAGTGCTGTAGCAGCAGCAGTGGCAGCAGCAGCTGCTGCTGAAGCGAGAAGAACAGACAAAGCCAGCAGCAGCAGGGAAGCAGGGGGAGGAGAAGGATCAACCACAGCAGCAGGAGCAGGGGCAGTTCCAGGAGAGCTTTTCTTTGTCGATGGGCGGCAAGGTCTTGTCTTTATCTCGGCAGCGTCTGCTACAGTAGCGTCTCTCCCGCACGTCCTATCTACCGCCCTTAGCTAGTTCCTGGGTTCTCCTGTATGCCTGCCTCTTGCCGCCCTGCTTGATTGTCCGCTGAACCTCCAGCCGAGCCTCCGCCGAGCCTTGGCGCTCGGTTCTCCAGCAGCCCTGGTTTCTGCCACCTCTGGCAGCTCTGGATCAGGTTCGGACGCACAAGACGAGGAGGAGGGGCGTACGGGCTCGGAAGGACAGGCTCGGTTACCGAGCCTGGCAGCACCGCCGAGCCTGTGGCAACAGCGGGTGGCAGCCGAAAGAGGAGGCATGCCTGGGGAGGTTGTAGCAGCTGCTGACGTGGCACTGCTACAGTGCCACCCACTGAGGCCGTTCCATGCAGGGGAGGTTGTAGCGTGGAGGGAGGAGAGAGGCGGAGGAGGAGGGGGGTTGCTGGCAGGCCAATGGTTTGGGCAGGGGCAGGGGGCAGGAGGAGGAGGGGGGGGCAGTGCAGCAGCAGAGAGCACACTCAATCCTGCCTCGTCCTCACTCGCAACACCCGCATCCACGCTGCGCTACGGGCAGGTGATGGCAGACGTGAGGGCGACAGCAGGCCAGGCGCTGTGCCGTGTGCAGGTGGAGACCTTCCCCAATGAGATGCGCCTGCTGCTCTCCTCCTCCATTCTCTCCTTCAAATCCTCCACCTCCTCCTCCGCTTCAGCTGCTGCAGCAACAGCAGCAGCAGGGGAAGAGGCTGCTCTTCCCCCTGCTGTTACTGTTGCGGCTGCTGCCGCTGCCTCCCCAGGCTCAACGGCTCGCCCTCCTGCTTCTCCTGATTTGGACGCTGCCAGCTCAGCGGCAGCTGTTCCAGCTGGGACCACGTCAGCGTCAGCGGTTGTCCCACCTGGCGAGGTGGTGCGGGCCGTGAACGACATGCTGGCAGCGGCTGGGATCCCGCTGGGTGGCGGGCAGCAGCGGCTGCTGACTCAGCTGCTGACGATGCAGGAACAGGTGGCGGCGGTAGAGGCCACTCTGGCGCATGAACAGGTGGGTCGTCCTCATTGGCTGCTTGCATTCTGTTTTATGTTATATCCTTACAATATTATATCGAATTTTCCCGTTCCTTTTTTTTCCCGTTTGTTTTTCTTTCTTTTCTCTCATTGGTTAGTTCTCTGCTCTCACATTTGTTTGACATTCCCTCCCTTTCCTTTACTCTCATCCCTCCCGACCTTTCGTCCACTGCTGCTCCCTTGCTCCTCCTACTCAGGCACGAGCGGAGCAGGCGGAGAAGGAAGCAGAGTCTGCCAAGGCCGCCTGGACGTGCCGCATCTGCCTGGCTGCTGACGTCAGCGCGGTGCTGGTGCCATGCGGGCACGTGCTGTGCGCCAGCTGTATCGCCAGCGTGCACCGCTGCCCCTTCTGCCGCTCCCATGTGGCGCAAACAGTGCGCCTCTTCAGGCCGTAGGTAGGATTCATAGATTCATTTTAAACAGTGTGGCTCTTCAAGCTGTAGGATTCACATAGTGCGTTTATATTGACCATAGGATCATCTATGCCTAGGGGTGATCCAAACCAAAGTCATTAGTCAATCACTAGTAGTCAAACTAAAAGATAACTGTAGAATGTTTATCAGAGTGGCAGAATTTGGCAAGGCATTGGCGAGAAAGAATAAAAACTGCCATACGAAGTAGTTATAGAGGTTTTTGTTCTGCTTCCTTTGGGGAAGAGACTGGAAGTTGGGTTGAGTAAATTGTTTCTTTTAATGTATACTCATTAATACTTTCCGTAACTAACATGCTTGCTCACAGTTCTTGCACAAGCGAGAACAGATCAAGGTTCCCCTTCACCCTCTTCTCGTCAATCCCTGGACATAAGGGCGACGTCAGGTTGTTCAACTTTTTATACGCCCACTGCGGTTAACTTTGTTTCAACACGGTGCAGAGAGGTTAACATCGAGAACCGCTTTCTACCGTCCTGAATCACGATACAAGAACTGCAAACCCATAAGAAATGTATAACCTGGCGCGCCCTAATCCAGCCCATTGAACAAGCTGCTAGTTCCAGCTGTCGCAGCCATGATCACCACCACCCTAAGTTCGCGAAACAGCTTCTTAGTGGTGTTTCGAAAGGTGTGGCGAGTTTGACGAAACTTCTTGTCAGTGCATGTCGGTAATCTAGGTGGTAACAACTGGTCGCAAACCTGTCCGTTTGATTCAGAGATAAATGGCGGGAGTGGGGCGAGGCGCCTCGAAGTCGCACGAAACTGAAAGTTCAGCAAGAATCGCCTCGAGTATCCCGCACGTACCACTACCCTGCATTCATCCCGCCGAGTTCGCCTGACGCGCACGTGGTAGGGCAATGGCCAGCGAGGCACACCGACTCTAAAACCCCTGCTCTCTGTCAGCCAAGGTACGGACTTAACCAGAAATCCGCTTGGGGATCCCACCCACCGAGCCTATCTCACCCACAAACCCGCTAGGCGGTTCCACCCACCGAGCCTGTCTCACCCAAAAACTCGCTAGGGGATTCAACCCACCGAGGCTGTCTTACGGGTTTTCTAGAAAGCCTCTCCTCTCCTCAGGTCTCCTCTCGTCGCTGCTTGATTGTACATATCGCTTTTTTTATTGGTACTCTCACTAAAAAGTTCCTGAACCTGCTCTAAGACGGTGATCTGAGACTGCAAATTTAGCTGCTTGAAAACAGCAGCCTTTTCTGGAAATCTAACTGCTTCTCAATTCTTTAGCACTACGATGGCAACTGTCTGCATGGTGAACGGCAGCCAGCCCGTCAGCAATCACAGACGACCAAACACAGACACACGGAGGCTTCGAACGACCAAGAAAGGCTTCAGTGCCTTCTTTGCTGCAATGAAATTTGGCAGATTCGAAGAGAATAACAAGCTACCGCAGGAAAGGTCCTTCCGTGCACCACTTGGGTTTTCTCCCCTGCGTCCAGCGGCTGCGAGTGCTGCCAAGGAGACAGTTGTTCCAGTTGCCTCCTGTGACCTGCCACAGAAGCAACGAGGACACACGAAGCAGCGCAAGCTGCAGAAAAAATCCCAACAAGTTCTTTCGCTGGCTGCACTTTCCTGCATGCCTACGAAAATCCCGAAGCATGTAGGCTCAAAGATTGTTGTGGAAGTGGCTGAAGCGAGACCTGCACGCAGCAATATGCCAGCAACAAGGGTCGAGAAGGAAACGTCCAAGTTGGAACAAATTCGGTTGCGGTTTGAAGTATTAAGACTGTCCAAGATGAGGGTTGCGCCTGCTGCTGCTGTTGCAGCATGAACCGTGAGGAAAAATTGCAGAAGTGCAAAGAAAAGCAGAAGTTTCTCTGTGCAGTTTTATGCTAGAGAGTCGAGTAACATCTGTAAATAGGTGTGTTCATCTGTACATTAAATTATTCTAACACGTGTTACTGTAAATCGTGTTTATTGAGCGGCCTTCTTCAGAAGCCTGTACCACTGTGAATCTTCTTCCGTTTGTCAGTCTCTTTACTCAAATCCTCTTTACATCACTATAGCTGAGTTCGCTATTTCGTTGCCACCCCATCCCCTCCTGTTTTCTTCCATGTTCCCCTGTTGCTTCTTTCTTGTGTACTTCCTAGTCCGTCCCCTAATCTCCCCCTTGTTCATTCTCATTTCCTTCTGCTCTCCTCTCTCCGTTCACATCGGGCCATCCCGCACCGCTCACCCCCTATCCGACAAGTCCAGACCCATTTTTTTCTCATATTTCTGTCGCCTACTGTTTCCTGCCCCTGTCATGCTCCCTGCCTTAGATGTTTAGTTCCTTAAACCCCCTTGCATTCAATCATCTCTCACTTACATGAGATAAGGTGGTATCAGATGGAACCAGGTAGCATCAGTTGGCATCACATGCCATCAGGTAGAAGTAACGGATCACCAAAGTAGCATCAACTGGCATCATATGGCATCGCACAGCATCATATGGCATCAACTGGTATAATATGGCATCATCTGCGATCGTATGTCCCTCTCGCCTCTTGATTTACGCATGCCACTCGAGCTGTCCAATCTCTTCTGTCTTGTTCCTTTCACTGCTTTCTCCCTCCGTGTTAGCTCTCTCAAGTGCTCCGTGTTTCTAACCCCCCCCCCACCCCCCCCCCCCCACCCCCTTTTGTTACCCCCTCCTTCCCATCAAGAATTGTTGTTACCTCATCATAGATTTGACAATTTTCATTCTGCTAACCTGATTGGCTTCAATCTTTTTGGATTCTGTGAAGTTTACTGTTTGAACGCCCATGCCACCTCGCATGCTCTGGCATCCACAGGCGTTAGATGGCATTCTCTGGCATTTTATTGTTCATTTGTGCCTCTCATAGTTAACCTCCACTTTCTCTCTGCTTGCTATCTCCTCAAGTCTCCCTTTCCTCCCCTGCCTGCGCTGCATATTTTCTTTCTTTGAAACACTCGTAGCCCTTTCCGTTCAACCCACTCCTTGTTTTGCATTCTCAGAGTCCTCCATTCACACTCTCAGCAAACCCCCCCCCCCCCCCCCACCCCCCCCCCGCCTGCTCTCCTTACCTCGTCTCTCAACGTCGGTCCTTGAAAGTGTAGAGGAGTTTTTATCCTTCCAATGTATACATTCTTGTGTTGCTCTCTTTCCGCTCACCCTCCTGTGCCCCATCTTGCCATGCTTTTCTCGTGTCCTTCCCAAGCAGTTTATCTTAACAGTTACAGCCATTATACCACCATTTTCACTTCACTACTTGAAGGATATGGTTGCCCAAAACTGTCTTTCATCTTCAACCTTCAGCTTGCCTTACCGTATTGCCCATTCTTGCAATGAGTTTTTCCTTGCTTCATCTCTCCCCTGTTGTATGCTGTAACCTCCAACTTGTCGCATTTACCGGTATTATCTACCATGTTTGTCTACTCACGTCGTTGTCATCACCTAGGCATCCGCATCTGGGTGTTTCTGTGAAGGCAGGAGCGTTACCAATGGGCCAGCATCTTCCCTTTCCAGCACTGTTTGCGGAGGGTTATGGCCCAAACAGAAGCCAGAAGCAGTGGTGCTGCAGTGCACTGCTGTTGGATCACAGCCAAAAGAAGCACCATTGCTGGCTTGAAATCAGCCATATACTCTCAAATCAGCCGGAAACAGGAACTCTAAAGAACCCTGAAGGGCATAAAATATCATATTTGGGAACAGCGGAGGGCTCATAGACTTGTTTTCATTAGCAGCCCTTGTAGTGCCTATCCCGCAGGGTCCTTGTGCCGTAAATTCCTGAGTAAGAAACCCACCGGTAGTCGCAGGGGTCTTTTATGCGGGGCAGAACGCTTACCGGTAGTTAGGAAGAAGGATCCAAAGCAGCATCGCTAGTCAAACTGTAAGATATGCCAAATCCTTCCACAAGTCTAAGTGTCTTCCTCGGCCGTCATTTGTTCACCTAATCGCAACACCTGCTCATAAGCTGTAAGCATGCCATGCACAGTGCACTGTTAGGTACAATACGGTTACCAAGTACTTGCATTCAAGTCAAACAGGTCCTGAAAGGACTGGAAGTTACTGGTAGTTGTGCATTGCAAGAACAGAAACAGCAAGCTGACAAGTTCTGTTCTGCAGAGCTGACACTGGCGAGTGCATGTCCATATCCTTGTTATAATCAGAGCCCATGGAACAGACATACATTTCGGACAACAATACAAGCCCCTGCATGAAACTACATCAAAGCCTGACTCCACGTCCTTAGGTTCTGGCCTGTACCATCCATCCAAACTTCCATCCTCATCCCTCTCAACTCCTCCCTTCACACAATCTCCATAGCTGCTGCTCATCTCCTGCCACCCTTCTTGACCGGCGCCTTGGACTTCTTAACAATAACGATTTCGCCCTTATCGAGGACGGGGATCTTGGACATGGTGCCGAGCGCGCCGTACCGCTGGTTGAACTTGTCAACCCGCCCTGCCTCCGTCAGCAGTGTGTTCTTGCTGCCCTGGAACAGCGGGTGGTTGCCTGCAGCATGGGCGTGGGGGAGGAGGAAATGACAGGTAGGATGGGAGTGTTTCGAGAGAAAGCACAGCAAATTTATCAAGTGTCCACTCGCCCCGCCTCCGTCAGCAGCACGTTCTTGCTGGCCTGGAACAGCGGGTGGTTGCCTGCAGATAAGGGGGGCGGGAGGGGGTGCATGATGGGGAGATGTGAGAATGAAGGTCCCAGAGTCCATACCCATGCGCACTCGCCTCCGTCAGCAGCGTATTCTTGCTGCCCTGGAACAGCGGGTGGTAGCCAGGAGGAAAAGAGGGCCAGGAGTTAATGCAAGCTCACCTAGCCGCTGATCGGACCTGAAAAGACGTCAGGCTAACCAACTAGACGTCACAAGACGTGAAACTAACTGACTGAACGTCAGCATATCTGACGAGCCGTCAGCCTAACTTCCTTATTTAAGGACGGCCTTAACCGATCAGACGACAAATTCCTCAGCGTGGCTACAGTGGTCACCCATCCTCGCCATTGCAAAACGCTTTGTACGCGTTAGGACTAATAGCGTATGCACTTCGTGCGCGACGACCAAAACTGACTAAACGCCGACGACAAACTCCGTTGCGTGGAAAGGCTGGCTGGCCACCCTTCATCGCCATTGCTAAACACATTATACTCGCTATAGAGCTCAAGCTGAATGCCCGGCTTTACCTGACCAGACGTCGACGATGTATTTCTCCTGCGTGCCCATGGTGGTCATCACCTCCTCGCCATTGCAGTAAACTTTAGCCTCCTTATAGAACTTGGGGTGGATGCCCTCCTTCTTGCACACCACGCGCGCCTCGCCGCGTTGCGCCTGCGAGATGGATTATCGAAGAATGAGAATAATGAGATGCCCTAGAGCACACTTTCGTTTAAATCGTTTTTGAATGTAGATTGTTCCAAGTCTCTCGTTCTTGCACACCACGCGCGCCTCCCTGCGCCTGAGAAAATGTAGACAAGAGAATCAAGTCATGAGATAAAATGAGTGCAGAACTTTTCCTCGTGCACGCCCCGCGTGGCTCGGCGCGTTGCGCCAGTGCGGCCATCAGAGTCGAGATAAGAGGTGACGGCGAAAGCCTGACGGGGTGATAGATGTGTCGACTAAAGGGTACCTCGCCGCATTGTCCGGGACGAAAGCGCTTTGAAAAAAAGGCGTCCGGATAGAAAATGAAAAAAACGCGGCTTATGGAGATAAGTGCGGAATGGATAATAGGTAATCTGACTGATTACCGTCCAATAAATCCTTTCCACTAATACCCTCAGTGTCAGCCATGGGGAACTACTTTGGGTCATACTGGAAGCTAAAAGAACGCCAACCTGAAGGTTTTGACGGCCCGCAAAAGCGGAGGAAGACACGGCGCCGAGGACTGACGCGTCGCAGCGGAGAGTCGCCATGGCTGCAGTCTAAGCGGCTTCAAGCACACAGCGATATAACGGCCTAGCAACTTTGAAGCCCGAAGCCCGAAACCTCGAATTAGGATGCCAAGCGGGGTGCTATAGGTGTATCTTGTGCACGGTTGGCTCAGGCGGAATCTAAGATGGTGGAAATTAGGGTTTCGAGTACGAAAACGACCAAGTGACTGGTAAAAATGGAGGGTGTAAGGCTACCACTTATGAAAGTCTCGCTAAGTCTCGTTAAGTGCCACTTACCGAAGAGGGGGTGGTGAGCGTGTGGCGGTGGGGGGTTGGCGGAGGATGATGCGATGCGAAGTGAGCAACCGGGGGTGGCGGAGCGGAAGCGGGGGCTCTGGTTGGGGGAAGTTCGACGGTGTGGATGCAAGGTTGCGGTTTCTAACATCTGGCTGACGTACGACGACGTGGCACCGCGCCTGGAGCCATCGCCACGTCATTTTCGCACCAACTTCGCGAACTTCAGGATAGGATGACAGCGTGCGTCGACAGCGCTGTTTCAACCCTCGCTAAAAGCGCATGCTCCGAGGCTTCATACAACATAGATAAAAACATGAAACTAAAAAAAAAGGTCATAAAAACGTTGTTGCAAGTGTCACACTGACAGCTACACAACAGAAATCAAACCAGTATGTTGGTACCGGCACATGGTCCATAAAGAGTTTGACACGCAGTAGGAGGCCTGTCTAACCTTATGCATTCCAACCCACTCTCTCCCCCACCCAACCCCCCTCTTCATAACCACCTTAAATGTACATATGGCCTTAGATGTCAAGGATGGATGACTCGCAGGTGCTGCAGCTGTGGTTCTACCAGCTGACAAAGACCCCATCCCACAGCCTGGAAAAATGGCATCAACAAACAAAGAGATGAGATGTGACGATGAATAAATGAAGTGGCCACACAAAAATATACACTGGGGCTGTAAAATTTATGAGCACAGGGCAACTTACCACCATATGGCTGCGGAGGCAGAACTCGCAGTCAGTCATTCATGTATGGAGGGCCATCTTCCTCAGTAACGCCAGTCAACGCTGGTCAACCCTGGTCAACGCTGCTGTTCCCCCTCCCGCCCAGCTGCACCTTCAGCCCCGCTGCCAGCACTCTCCCACCAAGTCAACGCTGGTCAACGCTGCTGCTCCTTCTCACCCATATCACACGACAGAGGTGTGTCTTTAGCCCCGTTGCACAAGAGGAGCAAGTACTGCAGGTCACAGACCTCCGCCAGGTGGTGGTAGCACGCCTTGTGGAAGGCCCTGGGGCGCATTGAACCCTGGTCAACGCTGCTACACGCCAGTCAGCGCAAGTCACCGCTGCTCTTCATCCTCCTCCAGCTGCACCTCCGGCCCTTCTTCCAGCACTGTCTCCACACGCCCTCGCACCTCCTCCAACAGACTCTTGACTTCACCCACATCACAGGAAAGTGGTGTGTCTTTAGCCCCCTCACATAATAAAAGGAAGTACTGCAGATCACAGACCTCGGCCAGGTGGTGGTAGCACGCCTTGTGGAAGGCCCTGGGGCGCAGCTCAAGCAGCACCGACTTGAACGGCATGAAGATGGCGTTGGTGATTGCTGCCCCGTGCGCAGCTACAAACAGCACGGCCCGATTGAAGAGGGCCTTGGCTGCAGGGTAATAAGAAAGGCGGGTGGGAGAGATAGGAGGGGTTGACTTGAACGGCATGAAGATGGCGTTGGTGATTGCTGCCCCGTGCGCCGCGACGAAGAGAACTGCTTGGTTAAACAGCACCTTGACTGCAGGGTTGGCAGGAAGAAGAGGGGAGATAGGAGGGGTTTGACCTGAACGGCGACCAACAGCACGGCGACTTTCAAGTTGACTCAAAGGTCATCTGATGAGCGCGGCTCCAAGCACGGCGACAAACAGCACAGCGACAAACAGCACAGCGACAAACAGCACAGCGACAAACAGCACAGCGACAAACAGCACAGCGACAAACAGCACAGCGACAAACAGCACAGCGACAAACAGCACAGGGATCTCCCCTCTGTTATTTTTTATAATTCTTAAAAAAACAAACTCAAAAGTAACCTGATGAGCGCTGCTCCGTGTACACGGCGACCAACAGCACAGGGCTCCCACCTCTTCTCCCCTCCCCCCCACCCCCTTCCAAATTCGGCCCACGTTTCTCCCGCTCACCATGAGCAGTGCGCAGACTGCCTTCAAACACCACCACCCACTCCCAAGGGAACAGAGAGCACAGCATCCCCTCCACCTGCTCGCACTGATAGCCCCACCTGCCCTCCCTATCTCCCGCTCACCATCAGAAATGCGCAGACTGCCATCAAACACCACCACCCACTCCCAAGGGAACAGAGAGCACAGCATCCCCTCCACCTGCTCGCACTGATAGCCCCACCTGCCCTCCCTATCTCCCGCTCACCATCAGAAATGCGCAGACTGCCATCAAACACCACCACCCACTCCCAAGGGAACAGAGAGCACAGCATCCCCTCCACCTGCTCGCACTGATAGCCCCACCTGCCCTCCCTATCTCCCGCTCACCATCAGAAATGCGCAGACTGCCATCAAACACCACCACCCACTCCCAAGGGAACAGAGAGCACAGCATCCCCTCCACCTGCTCGCACTGATAGCCCCACCTGCCCTCCCTATCTCCCGCTCACCATCAGAAATGCGCAGACTGCCTTCAAACACCACCACCCACTCCCAAGGGAACAGAGAGCACAGCATCCCCTCCACCTGCTCGCACTGATAGCCCCACCTGCCCTCCCTATCTCCCGCTCACCATCAGAAATGCGCAGACTGCCTTCAAACACCACCACCCACTCCCAAGGGAACAGAGAGCACAGCATCCCCTCCACCTGCTCGCACTGATAGCCCCACCTGCCCTCCCTATCTCCCGCTCACCATCAGAAATGCGCAGACTGCCATCAAACACCAAAACCCACTCCCAAGGGAACAGAGAGCACAGCATCCCCTCCACCTGCTCGCACTGATAGCCCCACCTGCCCTCCCTATCTCCCGCTCACCATCAGAAATGCGCAGACTGCCTTCAAACACCACCACCCACTCCCAAGGGAACAGAGAGCACAGCATCCCCTCCACCTGCCCTTGCTGCTGCAGTGACATACCGCGTGCATGCCACCTTAATAGACCCCACATTCACTGATAGCTTGAATCATAGCCCGCACCGCCCCCTCTCCTCTCCACACACACCCCAATCGCACTCTCACCATCAGAACTGCGCAGACTGCCATCAAACACCACCACCCGCTCTCGTTACCAGAACCCCCATTCAATCATAACCCCACCCCCCCACACAGACTCCTTCCTCACCATCAGCAATGCGCAGACTGCCATCAAACACCACCACCTGCTCTCGTTACCAGAACCCCCATTCAATCATAACCCCACCCCCCCACACAGACTCCTTCCTCACCATCAGCAATGCGCAGACTGCCATCAAACACCACCACCTGCTCTCGTTACCAGAACCCCCATTCAATCATAACCCCACCCCCCCACACAGACTCCTTCCTCACCATCAGCAATGCGCAGACTGCCATCAAACACCACCACCTGCTCTCGTTACCAGAACCCCCATTCAATCATAACCCCACCCCCCCACACAGACTCCTTCCTCACCATCAGCAATGCGCAGACTGCCATCAAACACCACCACCTGCTCTCGCGGGAAGAGAATGCACAGCAGCCCCTCCACCTACCCATGCTGCTCCAGTGACAGGATAGCAGAGATTCGACCTGAATCAAACACCTTGTTCTCTCACCATCGGAAATGCGCAGACTGCCATCAAACACCACCACCCGCTCTCGAGGGAAGAGAGTGCACAGCAGCCCCTCCACCTCCCCATGCTGCTCCAGTGCCCGGGTGTTGTATCGCTGCGCTAACACCACCACCCAGTCGGCAGGCGCACCTGGGAAGAGAGTAGAGAGTAACACAGAATAGCACAGGATTGAGAGCAAAATGTCAAACGTATGAGGTCACAGAATTTTGCACAGCAGCAGCTGCTCCACCTCCTCCTGCTGCTCGAGTGCCCTCATGTTGTATCTCTGCGCCAGCACCACCACCCAGTCAGCAGGCGCACCTGGGAAGACAACAGACAACTGACCGACAGCAGAGTAGACAGCAGAGCAGACAGTAGAAAGGTCAGCACAGGTATGAGAAGAGCTATGAGGACACAGCATTCGCATAGCAGTAGCTCCTCCTCCTCCTGCTCGTGCTGCTCCAATGCCCGCGTGTTGTAGCGCCGTGCCAGCACAACCACCCAATCCGCAGGTGCGCCTGGGAACCGACAGCACAGCAGCCAGTAGAACAGTCAGCACGGAAAGGAGAAGAGGCATGAGGACACAGCATTCGCGCAGCAGTAGCTCCTCCACCTGCTCGTGCTGCTCCAGTGCCCGCCGTGTTGTACCTCCCCTTGCTGCTCCAGCGCCCGGGTGTTGTGTTGCATCGCAGCAGCAACACACAAAGTGGACGTCTCAGAGAGGGGTCCAGTGGTCAATGCTGGTCAACGCTGGTCAACGCTAGTTACGCTGGTCAACGCTAGTTAACGCTGGTCAATGCTAGTCAATGACGGTCAATGCTGGTCAACGCTTGTCAACCCATACCAAGCTCACCTGGGAAGCCAATGGAGTACAACTGCATGGCGCTGTTGACACGCAGGGTCCAACCGGGGAGCAACATGGAGGTCAACGCTGGTCAACTCTGGTCTTTACTGGTCAACGCTAGTCAATGCTGGTCAACGCTGGTCAACCCATATCAGCAAGGCTCACCTGGGAAGCCAAAGTATGGCTGCATGGCGCTGTTGACACGCGGGGTCCAGTCAGGGAGGAGGAGCATGGGGAGGCCATCAGGCGGCAGCAGGTAGAGGCCAGAGGGGGAAGATGGTGGAATGGTGGAATGGGGCCAGAGAGGGGAATGGTGCAAGGCACAGGACGCACCTGGGAAGCCAATGGAGTATGACTGCATGGCGCTGTTGACCCGCGGGGTCCAGTCGGGAAGGAACATGGGGAGGCCGTCGGGTGGCAGCAGATACAGCCGACGGAAGTGACGCCAGAGGGAGCGACTGGGCCGCCCGCACCACTGGTAGTAGGGCTGGTGGGGGGGGGAGAGCAGGCACGGGCAGGGCGGGGGGAGTGGTGTGAGGGCAGAGAGTTAGAGGGGTGCGCAGAGCACGTAGCGGATCAGAGGGACCGACTGGACCGCCCGCACCACTGGTAGTAGGGCTGGCAGGGCGGGAGATCAGGCGCGGGGAAGGGAAGGGGGAAAGGCGTGAGGGTTAGAGAGTTTGAGGTGGGTGCGCGCAGCACATAGGGGATCAGAAGGACCGACTGGGCCGCCCGCACCACTGGTAGTAGGGCTGGTGGGGGGCGGGGGGGTGTTGAGGTTGGGAGGGTTGGAGGCGGGGGAGGGGGTTGGTGAGTCAGAGAAATGAATTGGGGGAAAGCATGGGGAATCAGGACGGACAGGACGGCCAGCCGCACCATTGGTAGTAGGGCTGGCAGGGGCAAGAACGGGAGGGAGGGGTAAAAGCGTGGGGTGAGGGGGATGGCGAGGGGGGAAGTGGGGTGGGGGGGATGGAGAGGGGGGAAGCGTGGGGTGCGAGGATGAACAGAGGGGAAGCGTGGGGTGGGGGGATGGAAAGGGGGAAACCCTAAACCCTACTCCTTGTCCCTACTCCTACGCCTAAACCCCAAACCCTTAACCTTCAGTTTCTGGTGGTTCGGGTAACGCAGTCAGCTGCAGGTCCATGTGAACCATATCCATGCCAATGAGGAACAAGACTCATGCAGCATGCCTCAGTGCAACCATATCTGTAGGTATTGCACGGCGATGGGCAGCGAGCGCAGCAGGTGCGGCCTAAACCCTAAACCTTCTACTCCAGTGCTTGACGTGCTGGAGAGTACAGCACAGGTGGCTTACCTGCGGCACTTGGTGAGCAAAGAACAGCTCATCGTTCGGCACAACCCTCAAGTCCATGTGCACCATGTCCATGCCAATGAGTGCACGAATCATGCAGCATGCCTCAATGCAAGCACAGGTGGCGTGCCTGCAGCACTTGGTGGGCGAAGAACACCTCATCATCTGGCAAGACCCTCAAGTCCATGTGAACCATGTCCATGCAGATAAAAAACGTCCCCAGATTTTCGAGAAAGTCCATCCGCAGGTACTACACGGCGATGGGCAGCGCGCGCAGCAGGTGCTGCCTAAACCTTAAACCCTGACAGCCGTACCTGAGGCACTTGGTGGGCGAAAAACACCTCATCATCCGGCACCACCCGCAGGTCCATGTGAACCATGTCCATGCCAATGAAAAAGGTCCCCAGCTTCTTGAGAAAGTCCATCTGCAGGTACTGCACGGCGATGGGCAGCGCGCGCCGCAGGTGTCAGGTGCGGTCCTGAAGCAAGCAAGGCCGTACCTGAAGCACTTGGTGGGCGAAGAACAGCTCATCATCCGGCACAACCCTCAAGTCCATATGAACCATGTCCATGCCGATAAAAAAAGTTCCGAGCTTTTCCAGGAAGTCCATCTGCAGGTACTGCACGGCGATGGGCAGCGCGCGCCGCAGGTGTCAGGTGCGGTCCTGAAGCAAGCAAGGCCGTACCTGAAGCACTTGGTGGGCGAAGAACAGCTCATCATCCGGCACAACCCTCAAGTCCATATTAACCATGTCCATGCCGATAAAAAAAGTTCCGAGCTTTTCCAGGAAGTCCATCTGCAGGTACTGCACGGCGATGGGCAGCGCGCGCAGCAGGTGCGGTGCCTTGGAGAGCATGAAGAAGACGGGCACGAGCTCGAGAATGCCGTGGTAGAACTGGTACGCGTTCCAATGCGCCAGGTTGATTATCTTATCGTAGACTGTCACCCGTGTGCCCTCGGGTATGTCGAACTGTCACAGGGAGACGGAACCGGGCAGGAAGGCGCGGCGGGGAGGGGAAGAGGAGGGTGGAGGGATGGGGGTGGGGGTGAAGAAACAAGGTCAGGGGAGAGAGAGGGGTGAGAGGAGGTGCGGCGCCTAGGAGCACATGGAGAAGACGGGCACGAGCTCGAGAATGCCGTGGTAGAACTGGTACGCGTTCCAATGCGCCAGGTTGATTATCTTGTCGTATACCGTCACTCTCGTTCCCTCAGGGATGTCAAACTTCAACAAGAGGTTGCATGCAGGAAGGGGTGCGAAGGGGTGGGAAGGGGGTGGGAAGGGATGGGAAGCAGGGAAAGGGGTGGGAGACGAGCTCGAGAAGTGCCACACAAGGGATTTAATAAAACATTGTGCTCTTCTCTCACCTTGCGCTCCTCTCCTCTCACCTTGTGTTCCTCCCCTTTCACCTTGTGTTGCTTCCTCTCACCTTGTGCTTCTCTCCTCTCGCTTGTGCACCTCTCCTCTCACTATCTGCTCCTCTCCTCTCACCTTGTGTTCGCTGCCGCAGCCATTTCTATCATAGAGGAACGAGTCATTAAACGCCTGTCCGCGCGAGTTGAAGTACACGTGGCGCAGGTTGAACATTTGGCTCACCCACGCGAAGTGCCACACATCAGAGGAAGTATGACTTACCTTACACTCCTCTCCTCTCACCTTGTGTTCCACATCTCTCACCTTATGCTCGCTCCCACAGCCGTTCCGGTCGTACAGGAACGAGTCGTTAAACGCCTGTCCGCGCGAGTTGAAGTAGACATGCCGCAGGTTGTCTGGCTCACCCACGCGAAGTGCCACACAAGGGAATGTAGTTTACCTTCTGCTCCTCACATCTCCTCTTACCGTGTGCAGCTCGCCCTCTCACCTTGTGTTCACTGCCACAGCCGTTGCGGTCGTAGAGGAACGAGTCGTTAAACGCCTGTCCGCGCGAGTTGAAGTAGACATGCCGCAGGTTGAACATCTTTCTCACCCACGCAAAGTGCCACACAAGGGAATGCGATTTTTACCTTGGACTCCCCTCCTCTTACCTTGAGCTCTGCCATCAAAAGGGGAGCGAAGATACTTCACCTTGTGCTCCTCGCCTCTCACCTTATGCTCACTGCCGCAGCCGTTCCGGTCGTACAGGAACGAGCCATTGAACGCCTGTCCGCGCGAGTTGAAGCACACGTGGCGCAGATTGAACATCTGGCTCACCCACACTAAGATCAACAGAAGGGAATATACGTTACCTTGTACTCCACACTTCTCACCTTATGCTCGCTGCCGCAGCCATTTCTATCATATAGAAACGAGTCGTTAAACGCCTGTCCGCGCGAGTTGAAGTACACGTGGCGCAGATTGAACATCTGGCTCACCCACGCAAAGTGCGGGATATCATCCTCCGCATGAGAGCAGTTCGGATCAAACAGAATCTTCACCGGCTTGATTTTCAACGGCGAATCCACCATAACTTTTTTTACTCTCGGGCAGTTCAGCGGCGGTAAAGCTGCCCGCCGGCTCAAATCTTCCATATCCGGGCAGTGGCACGCGTCTACAGCGGTGAAATTCCCCGAGCACTGCTGAAAATCCGGGCACTCGCCGCCTTTGCACCTGATATGCATATCCTCCGTCTGCTGGTGCGACTGGTTGTGATAGTCTAAGAATACGTGATGTAGCGACTCCATTCGGTATCGCGTAGTTAAATTCTCGGACCGCAGCGAGCCCTCCGCGCGGAGGTACTCGCGGAGATTGTTCTTCCCCGGACCCAGCTTGCGCACCAGCCGCTCCTTCCACCGCTTCCGCCGCGAAAAGGCACCCGCGCGCATATCGCCCGCACCCAGCCTCCTGCGCGGCGGAAAGGCATCCTTGCGCGCGTCAATCGAAATGAGCTTTCTGCGGTGAGGTTCGCTGCTCTGCTCGTCGCCTCCCCTGCTGTCTAAGATGATCCGCTCCCCTTCTCCTTCGGCAATCTGCGCCATTCTTCCGGCGATCCGCCCTCCTCGTGTGTCCGAGATTTGCGGATCTAGATTGCCTGATTCGTCATCGTCCAATCTCCATGGCGCCACGTCATCGTCCTCGTCTGGAATTAAGGAACTGAACGGATGAGAATCAATGGACGGACGAAAATCGATGGACGGAAAAGTATTGCCGATAGACGGAAGGACGCTAGAGATCGATCCCGGATGCGATCTTCGCGGCGGGATCGCATCATGAGAGCTTGGCGGAGGGGGTACATTCTGATGTTCGCTCGACGAAACGTCGTTGTGCGATGTGGTTACAGGAACGGCATCGCGAAACTTCGTCGGGGTGCTAGACGCAGACGCGGTTGCGAAAGCGAGCAGCGACAATGCGATGACCGCGACGATCTGGGACAGGACGACGACGACGGATCGGATACGGTGTGAGAAAGAAGGGGATCGGTACGAGCGGGAGCGAATCCTTGCGACGGGAGGAGACGGCCATGGAACGAAAAAACGTGGTTCCGATGCTCTTCCCGCCATAGCGGCCATCTTGAAAGGTTTCGAAAGCACGTGAGAGTGTTTACAGCGCAATGAGTACGGATTGATCAACAGAGGAGTGTCATGACGCGAGAAACCGTGGCCGGAAGCTGTAGACCCGCCACACACGAGGCCCCTAGCGCGGAAGAAACGGCGAATTATCCAGCGCTGATGTTGCGACTCGAGGTTAAGACAATTAGTGGCTCATCACGGGAAGCCATGCTCTTATACCCTTGTCATCATGACAGCGTGGAACACGGAGTCTGCAACAAATTCTTGTTGCTCTGATTCAGCAGCACTATACGTCGTCTCCTCGTGTCCATGGCAGTATACACAAGATCACACACGCCCTTATGTTGACACATATTTGCTGAGGAAGACAGGGATCATGGGGCTTGTCCAGAGGCAGCAGTTTGGCTGGAATTCTTGCACGGTAATACCGCTCAGGAACGCAACAGACCGAATTAAAATCCCTCGTCATCCTCAGCTTGTGATACCCCACAGCTTCAGTGAGATTGAGTGTGCAGATATCACCGCTTTGGAACACCCCGCATCGATAGAAACCCCGGTACGCCGTCTGAAAACGACCCTGGGACCCTCGACGGGAGAACCCTCCCCGAATGTCGGCGAGGTTCGACCAGAGAACAGGTCCCGAATGTCGGGATCCTGTGACTGGTCAGTTGAAGCTACAGTGTTTTGCCAGGTGTGATTTGCCAGACGCTGCTGCAGGTGGCCATGTGTGGGCCAGCTGAACCAGGTGGCTACTGCCTCGTCACCCAGATATTCTCGAGGAGCACATGAAATTGTTGAGCGGAGGTACACGCGATTTCTCTACTTAATATACTTATTATACTTCAAAGTGATCATATTTTTGCTTGTGAACGAGCAAACATCATTCCATAATCTAATATGTTTATACCATGGATGCTGGAGCTGGAAAGTATTTGATGGAACATTCGCTATGGATGTTAGTATGTGTATTTATTAATGGTGTATAAACAACGCTACACCAAATTTTGGCATACGTACCAGAACATGGTGTATGTAGCATATTACGGTAGACAATTTCTATCTCCAGAGGCTGCACATTCTAACCGGACACTCCAGTGACAGCACTGCTTTCTTCAACTTCTAAACCAACCTCTTCTCCCTCACTCTCATCCCCACTTCCCTCCTCTCCCCTCCAATCCTCTCCACCTCCCTCATCTTTACCTCCCTCCACCCCACCCTTCGTACCCTCCCCATCCCGGTCCCTCCGTCCACCCAATCTCTCTCTAATCCCCTCCTCAAGCTCCCTCGCAACCTCCACATTCTCCTTCAGAAAGTTCCTCGCGCCTTCCTTCCCTTGCCCAATCACTTCGCCGCCCTTTTTATACCACGCACCAGAGAGAGCGAGCAACCCTTCTTTTACACCCAAATCTAGCAGTTCCCCCTCCCGGGATATCCCGTGGCCAAACTCAATGTCGAACTCTGCCGTGCGGAAGGGCGGTGCGAGCTTATTCTTGTTGACCGTTACCCGCACGCGGTTACCAACAATCTGCAGTGAAGACGAGACCATGGGGAAGCAGAAACCGAACAGGCCAGGGGTGGGGAGGGGGGAGGAGGGTGGGAGGGGAGAGGAGAGTGGGAGGGTATGGAGGTAGAGAGAGGGTGGGAAAAGGGAAAGGAGGAGTACGTGTGAGTGTGAGCAGACCTCTCTCATGTTATTCTAGCAGTTCCCCCTCCCGGGATATCCCGTGGCCAAACTCAATATCAAACTCTGTCGTGCGGAAGGGTGGTGCAAGCCTGTTCTTGTTGACCATTACCCGCACGCGGTTACCAACAATCTGCGGTGCAGAGGAGAGGATGGAGGGAGGCGAGAGTGTGGAGGTATATGGAGGAGTGGGGAAGAGTGGTGGCAGGGAGTGGAAAGCAAAAGCACGAAGTCAGAGAGAGGATAGGAGAAGGTGTGAAGGTGTGCTGTGCAGTGCTACAGGGGCTAAACCTACCTTCTCTCCCTGCTTCAGCTGCGCTACTCTCTTGATGTGCTATAGGGTGCTTGATGGTGCTGTGTGGTGCTGAGGGGTGCGCTAGCGTGCAAAGGAGTGCAGAGTGATAACGCACCTTCTCTCCCTGCTTCAGCTGCGCCACTCGCTTGATGTGCAGCCGCAGCGATGCATAGAACTTGAGTGCATTGCCTCCAGACGTCACCTCCACCGGCATGCCCATGCCTGGCCCTCCCATCATGAGCTTCGATCGCACCTGATCATGGATAAGGAGAGGAATTTGATAAGAGGAGTGGACATGGGTCGTCCAAGGGAGTTGATAGTCATCTCTCACTTGCCTCCAAAAGTCACCTCCGCTGGCATACACATGGCGGGCCCTTTAAGCATGAGCTTCGATCGCACCTGTGCATGGACAAGGAGAGGAATGTGATGCTGCAGGGTATTTTCGACAATTCTCATAAATACCCTGCAGGAGAGGAATGTGATGAGTCGATTTTTGAGTCGACTAAAAAATCGTCTCGTCACATCACATGGGCTTTGATCCCACCTGCGCATGGACAAGGAGAGGAATGTGGGGGCTTGGACTGCAGGCTTGTCAGAACAAAAGTGCCATTCAAATCACACATCAAGCAATTTAACCTGGTTTTTCCTCCCTGCCACTCCAACCGCATTGCACCCACCTGGTTGTTGCATACGAGCACTGCTTGTCATTTGAGTACCCCCCACAGCCTCCTTCTCAGAGCCTCAATTTTCTTATCCTGGCGGTATCATGCGCACGTGTCTGCAGGCAGGACTACCAGGTAAGGAGGAGTCACCCATCCCATCTCTCCCCCCTGCCATCTCCACCGCACTGCACCATCTGCCACCACACTGCACCCACCCACTTACCATCCCGACCGCACTGCACCCACCTGGTTGACAGAGATTAGCACGGCCTGGGACTGGTTGAGCGCTCCTGACAGGTTCAGTAGCGCCTGCGACATCATGCGCGCCTGCAGGGCTATCCGGTGGCAAGGAGCGCACCTCCCTACCATTCCCACCGCACTGCAACCCCCACCTGCCATCCCAACCGCACTGCACCCACCTGGTTGACGAATATGAGCACTGCCTGGGACCGGTTGAGCGCCCCTGACAGCTTCCACCGCACTGCACCGCACTGTACAATGTCCTCAGAGCCTGCGACATCATGCGCGCCTGCAGGGCTATGAAGGCGTGAAGGTGCAAGAAGTCTGCATACCATCCCACCACACTTAACCCACCTGGTTGACGAATATGAGCACAGCCTGGGAGCGGTTGAGCGCCCCTGACAGCTTCCGCAGCGCCTGAGACATCATGCGCGCCTGCAGGGCTATGAAGGTACAAGGAGTCTGCAAACCATCCCCACCGCACTGCACCCACCTGGTTGACGAAGATCAGCACGGCCTGCGAGCGGTTGAGCGCCCCTGACAGCTTCCGCAGCGCCTGAGACATCATGCGCGCCTGCAGGGCTACAAACGAGTCGCCCATCTCCCCCTCCAACTCTGCTTGGGGCACGAGTGCTGCCACCTGCGAGGAATGTGGAAGCATGGGAGGGGCGAAAGAGATGAGGGCAGGGCTACAAACGAGTCGCCCATCTCGCCCTCCAGAGCCTGAAAATTGATGATTTAAGAGAAAGGGGGAAAGAAGAAGGGTAGAAGACAAAACCCTAAACCTTGCCAAAACATTAACATCTAAATCTCCAACCCACCTCTCACACTATCAACCACAATGACGTCATAAGCGCCGCTCCTCACGTTCTGATCCACTAGAGCCAAGCCCGTCTCCGGGCTGAGAGAGGTGCATGCGAGTCAATCATATCCACTCCGAGACCCAAATCCCAGATCCCCTACGCCACTCACACTATTCAACCACAATCACATCATAGACACCGCTCCTAACATTCTGATCCACAGGGGCAAAACCTGTCTCCCCACTGTTCGTAAACTGTAATCCTGAAACCCACAACTCGAAAGCACTCACACTATCAACCACAATCACGTGATAGGCGCCGCCGCGCCGCTCCTAACGTTCTGATCCACCAAGGCAAGACCTGCCTCCCCACTGTTCGTAAACCGTAATCCTGAAACTCACAACTCAAAGCACTCACACTATCAACCACAATTACGAGAGGAAAGGGCTCGATGAATATAAAGACGCATGCTGCTCCAGTTTTTTTTTTTTTTTTTTTTTTTTTTTTTTTTTTTTTTTTTTTTTTGCCGCAACAAATTTCTGACAAGAATTTTTATAATTTGATGTGTCAAATCTGAACTTCTAGCTTGCCCCCATTCAGGAAGAGCGAGATGCTGCGTCAAAGAAGCAATAGGAGGCGGAAATGTTGAATGCGCAGCTGGAGAGTTTGGGGGAGAAATAGAAGCTGGAAGAGAAAGAAATGAGGGCTGAAATTGAAGAAATAAAGAGAAAATGGGAGGAGCAGAAAGAGGAGGCAAAAGAGGACTCCACTTGCTTCGCTCACCGCTGCCCCTGGACATGGAATATGAGTACGTGCTGTAGGCGTGAGATTGTGTGGATTTGGCTTCCAGCAGGTTACATTCTTCGGTTTCCAGCCGAATCCACACAAGTCTCACGCCTACAGCACGCACTCACATTCCATGTCCAGAAGCAGCGGTGTGCGGAGCAAGTAGAGTCCTCATTTGCCTTTTTGCTCCTCTTTTCATTTCATCACTCTCAGCTCTCATGTCTTCTTCCTCCAACCTCCACCGCTCCCTCAAACTCTCCAGCTGCGCATTTAATTTCTCCACCTCCACCGCTTCTTTTACACGGCATCTCGCTCTTCCTGAATGGGGACAAGCTAAAAGTTCAGATTTATCACACCGAGTTAATATTTTTCTTGTCAAGAATTTGTTGCGGGAAATAAAAACAACCAAAACGGCATGGGCCTTCATATACATCGAGTAATTTCCTTCCAGTTTTGATCCACGAGAGCCAGGCCCGTCTCGCCACTGTTAGGCTGGGACAGATGCATGCGAGTCATGTTCACTCCACCCCCAGAGCTTTAAACTTGAAACCCCATACCGGACCCTAAACCTGAAAATTGGAACCTTGTTCCACTCACTCTGTCGACCACAATGACGTCGTAGGCACCGCTCGTGACGATCTGGCCCACAACAGTCAAGCCCGTCTCGCCACTGTCAGGCTGAGACAGGTGCATGCGAGTCATGTCCACCCCCTGGAAATTAAACCCTTAAAACCAAACCCAAAACTAAACCTGAAATCCGAAACCGGCCACACTCACATCATACTATCAACCACAGTGACGTCATAGGCGCCACTCCTGACGTTTTGATCCACAAGAGCCAAGCCAGTCTCGCCACTGTCAGGCTACGACAGGTGCATGCGAGTCATATCCACTCCATCCCCAAAGCGTTGAACCCGAACCTCCAACCCCAACCCCCGAAATCCAAAACCCCGTCACACTCACACTGTCAACCACAATGACATCATAGGCGCCGCCCCTAACATTCTAATCCACAAGAGCGAGGCCCGCCTTGCCATTTGTCGAGCTGAGACAGGTGCTCGTGAGTCATGTCCACTCCACCCCCAAAAGCCTTGAAACCCGAACATCCAATTCCAACCCCTGAAGTCCAAAACCCCGCATCACTCACACTGTCGACCACAGTGACGTCATAAGCACCACTCCTGACATTTTGGCCAATCCTGTCTCGCCACTGTTAGGCTGAGACAGGTGCATGCGCGTCATGTCCACCCCAATGGCCGTAAACCCGAAACCTTAAACCCAGAAAAATGCAACACTCACACTATCAACCACAATGACGTCATAGGCGCCGCTCCTGACGTTCTGGTCCACTAGAGCCAGGCCCGTCTCGCCACTGTCGGGCTGAGATAGGTGCATGCGTGTCATATCCACCCCAATGGCCCTTGCTAGGTCGATGTCGAGCGAATGCTCCGCATCCACAAAGTAGGCCGCTCCTGGGAGGATGGGGTTTTAGAGTAGAGTGTAGGAAGGGACGAAGGGAGGTTGAGAGGGACAGGTGCACCATGGCCACCGCTAGGGCCTTAGCTAGGTCATGGTCGAGCGAATGCTCCGCATCCACAAAGTAGGCCGCTCCTGGGGTTTAGGGTGCAAGCCGGGTGAAGGCAACGAGGGACCATGAATGAGACAGACAGTGCGAGTCATGTTCACTCCCAACAACCGGTTTCCTTTGCTACAACCGGTTACAATGGTGCGAAAAAAAACATAGCTGCAAAATCCCCCCCTCCCCCATTCACCTCCTCTCCCTCTTCCCGCTCACCTCCTCGCTTCTGTGCCTCTGCCAACACATGCAGTGCCAGGGTTGTCTTGCTTGTCGCATTCACCGCAACAATGCAACATTGTAGTGCTGTGCTGTGCACTGTGCAGGTGCCCGCAAAGGCCACAACCCCTCCTTTTCTCTCACCTCCTCGCTTCTGTGCCTCTGCCACCACATGCAGCGCCAGGGTTGTCTTGCCCGTTGCCTCGGGCCCATAGATTTCCACCACTCGGCCCTGGGGGGAGGGAAGCCAAGGTTGAGAGGCATAGAGTGACAGAGGAATGAATTGGGGACAGAACAGAGCATGTCAGTGACGATGCCTCGGGCCCATAGATTTCCACCACTCGGCCCTGGGGGGAGGGAAGCCAAGGTTGAGAGGCATAGAGTGACAGAGGAATGAATTGGGGACAGAACAGAGCATGTCAGTGACGATGCCTCGGGCCCATAGATTTCCACCACTCGGCCCTGGGGGGAGGGAAGCCAAGGTTGAGAGGCATAGAGTGACAGAGGAATGAATTGGGGACAGAACAGAGCATGTCAGTGACGATGCCTCGGGCCCATAGATTTCCACCACTCGGCCCTGCGGAAACCCAAGGTACAGAGCCATAGAGTGACAGGCGAATAAAAGCCAGGGAAGAAAGAAAGCATGTGAGGTGACTTTTGAGTCGACTCAAGAGTCACCTGTGGTCTTGCCCATCGCCTCGGGCCCATAGATCTCCACCACTCGGCCCTGGGGTAAGGCCAGGGGGGTATATATATAAATAAAAAAAGAAAACAGAGCAGAGCACAGAGAACAGGGCACAGAGAACAGAGCACAGAAAAATACCAGAAGAAAAAATACCAGGAGAGAACAGAGCATGTCAGTGACGTCAGAAAAATCAGGAGTGAGAAAGATAAACATGGACGTAGATATCTTGAGAGTATTAACTGGCATTCAAAGAGGAGGAACGAGATTATGGGCTTGTGGGAGGAGGAAAGGGGATTATTAAAGAGGAGGAAAGCATAACGCAGTAATGTGGGTGAATGGATAGTCAAGGGCCAAAGAGAGAGATTTCAACCATGAAGACTGGTAGCCAAAGAACAGAAGAAGAGAGCGAGAAATTTGATTGCTGAGTGCGAGAAATAGTTTGAACTGCCATATTGTACAAAAAAAAAGCCTCTGCCAAGGAAAGACATGATTCCCGATCGGGGCTCCGGATTCACATAGATTGCACCTTAGTTGGTATTGTACGTATACGGTGGTTTACGTTTACGTGACTTTACGTAGTAAACTTACGTTTACTTACGTGGGCCCAAAATGGCTTTACGTTTACGGTCAGCCAGAAACATTTCTGGCTGCCCAGAAAGATAAGAAATCATTGGACTAAGTGGCTGCATGGGAAGCGCCTAATCTATCACTAGCTTGGTTCTTCTACGCCCAAGCATGTTAGCTTACTAGTACATCAACTTACAGCTTCCCCAAATCTACACGGACATGTCGCAGCCTCTCCCACCTCATATCAGTCAGATTTTCTCGTTTCGCGGGCAAAAAAAACATTTTTTGCCCTGCCCGTGTGACTTTACGTAAAATTACGCGTAAGAAAACGTAAAGGTAAACTCAAGCGTAAGTTTACGTTTACGTGACCCAAAAAAACGTAAAGTACCAACTAAGGATTGCACACACGGAGGCACTCACCCGAAGGAAGCCACCAATCCCAAGGGCCGCATCCAGGGCGAGGGAGCCTGAGGGGATGACCGGGACGCGGTGGGCAGCCAAGTCAGGATTGGTGCTCCAGGGAGTGTTCAACAGATTTCGCCTGGAAATTGCATGCATTCACTCACACTCACCTTTGGGAAGCCCCCAATCCCAAGGGCCGCATCAAGAGCAATGGAGCCTGAGGGGATGACTGGGACGCGGTGGGCGGCCAAGCTGGTATTGGTGCTTCAGGGAGTGCCCTATTGCAACAGGCAACAGGATTCACGTGGAGCATGCATGCGTACACACACACACAATCTCGTGACTCTCCCTCGGGAAGCCTCCAATCCCAAGGGCCGCATCTAGGGCAATGGAGGCTGAGGGGATGACTGGGACGCGGTGGGCGGCCAAGTTGGTATTGGTGCTTCAGCGAGTGCCTGATTGCAACCATATTCCCCTGGACGAATGGCTCGCCCACACACACACTCGTGACTCACTCGAGGGAAGCCTCCAATTCCAAGGGTGGCATCCAGGGCAATGGAGCCTGAGGGGATGACCGGGCGGGACTCAGTGGGCGGTCAGGTCAGCAATGGTGCTCCAGTGAGTGTCTCATTGATTGCAACAGGATTCACCTGGAAAATGCATTGCCCACACACTCTCGTGACTCACTCGAAGAAAGCCCCCAATCCCAAGGGCCGCATCCAGCGCGATGGAGCCTGAGGGGATGGCTGAGACTCAGTGGGCGGCCCAAGTTGGTATTGGTGCTTCAGTGAGTGCCTGATTGCAACCATATTCCCCTGGACGAATGCCTAGCCCACACACACTTGTGACTCACTCTAGGAAAGCCCCCAATCCCAAGGGCGGAATCCAGGGCGATGGAGCCTGAGGGGATGATTGGGACGCGATGGGCGGCCAATTCGGCCTCAGTGCCGCCCAGCACCATCACTGCCTCCCGCCCAAACTTGGCTCGTAGCTGCAGGGGTGCGTGGGGAGGGAGACAAGGAGAGTGGAGTGTGGGGAAGCGTGGGCAAGTGTGGGGGAAGCGGGATCGCCAGCATCAGTGCCGCCCAGAACCATCACTCCCGGCCAAACTTGGCTCGTAGCTGCAGGTGTGCGTAGAGAGGGGGAGATGGGCGGGGGAGAGTAGTAAGCAGGCGAACGATAACGTGAGGAGAGCAAGAAGGGGAGGGATAATGTGAGGAGGGGAAGAAGGGGAAGGATAACGTGAGGAGAGCAAGAAGGGGAAGGATAACGTGAGGAGGGGAAGAAGGGGAAGGATAACGTGAGGAGGGGAAGAAGGGGAGGGATAATGTGAGGAGGGGAAGAAGGGGAAGGATAACGTGAGGAGGGGAAGAAGGGGAGGGATAATGTGAGGAGGGGAAGAAGGGGAAGGATAACGTAAGGAGGGGAAGAAGGGGAGGGATAATGTGAGGAGGGGAAGAAGGGGAAGGATAACGTGAGGAGGGGAAGAAGGGGAAGGATAACGTGAGGAGGGGAAGAAGGGGAGGGATAACGTGAGGAGGGGAAGAAGGGGAAGGATAACGTGAGGAGAGCAAGAAGGGGAAGGATAACGTGAGGAGGGGAAGAAGGGGAAGGATAACGTGAGGAGGGGAAGAAGGGGAGGGATAATGTGAGGAGGGGAAGAAGGGGAAGGATAACGTGAGGAGGAGGGGAAGAAGGGGAGGGATAATGTGAGGAGGGGAAGAAGGGGAAGGATAACGTGAGGAGGGGGAAGAAGGGGAAGGATAACGTGAGGAGGGGAAAAGGGGAGGGATAATGTGAGGAGGGGAAAAGAAGGGAAGGATAACGTGAGGAGAGCAAGAAGGGGAAGGATAACGTGAGGAGGGGAAGAAGGGAAGGATAACGTGAGGAGGGGAAGAAGGGGAGGGATAATGTGAGGGGGGAAGAAGGGGAAGGATAACGTGAGGAGGGGAAGAAGGGGAGGGATAATGTGAGGAGGGGGAAGAAGGGGAAGGATAACGTGAGGAGGGGAAGAAGGGGAGGGATGGATAAGTGAGGAGGGAAGAAGGGAAGGATAACGTGAGGGGGAAAGAAGGGGAGGGATAATGTGAGGAGGGGAAGAAGGGGAAGGATAACGTGAGGAGGGGAAGAAGGGGAGGGATAATGTGAGGAGGGGAGAAGAAGGGGAAGGATAACGTGAGGGGGGAAGAAGGGGAAGGATAACGTGAGGAGGGGGAAGAAGGGGAGGGATAACGTGAGGAGGGGAAGAAGAGGGGAAGGATAACGTGAGGAGAGCAAGAAGGGGAAGGATAACGTGAGGAGGGGAAGAAGGGGAAGGATAACGTGAGAAGGGGAAGAAGGGGAGGGATAATGTGAGGAGGGGAAGAAGGGGAAGGATAACGTGAGGAGGGGAAGAAGGGGAGGGATAATGTGAGGAGGGGAAGAAGGGGAGGGATAATGTGAGGAGGGAAAGAAGGGGAGGGATAATGTGAGGAGGGGAAGAAGGGAAGGATAACGTGAGGAGGGGAAGAAGGGGAGGGATAATGTGAGGAGGGGAAGAAGGGGAAGGATAACGTGAGGAGGGGAAGAAGGGGAGGGATAACTGTGAGGAGGGGAAGAAGGGGAGGGATAACGTGAGGAGGGGAAGAAGGGGAGGGATAATGTGAGGAGGGGAAAGAAGGGGAGGGATAACGTGAGGAGGGGAAGAAGGGGAAGGATAACGTGAGGAGGAGGGGAAGAAGGGGAAGGATAACGTGAGGAGGGAAGAAGGGGAGGGATAACGTGAGGAGGGGAAGAAGGGGAAGGATAACGTGAGGAGGGGAAGAAGGGGAAGGATAACGTGAGGAGGGGAAGAAGGGGAGGGATA